TTTGGCAATTAGTGCTAATATCGCCTTTTAATTGAATGAGTGCGATGAGTTAATCACAGTCTTTCAACACCTCTGCGTCTTTTTGTACCTGCTGTTTACCTTACATAAGGTACAATGTCTCTATAGAAAACAGCACATGAAATTTTAACAGCTGGACCTTTATTTTGTGTCAGACGCTAATGTAATTGAAAAAAGTGATGTTGTTTTCATTCTAAATAAAATCGTCGGCATCAGCAAGCAAAACGTCTTGCATGGCTTCGCAGTGGCGGGTCTCGGGGGTAAAATCTCTCTCCTTGGATCGCAAAAAAGGTGAAAACTAGCGCATGCCTGCTCAACCACCCTCTTGATAGCTAAGCCGCCCTCTGGAGCCAAACCCGACCGCCAATGGTTCGAATCTCGCCCGAGCCAGTGCCGCATTGGTACAGGGATGGTATTACCCAATATACAGGGTGAAGCAAAAAGAAAGAAACCTACTTTTGAATGCAATTTTCACCTATTTGTTGAGCAAATTTCAAAACTTCAACTTATTGGTATTAAAATATTGATCTTTAAACATAAGTGACGAAAAAAATGATTACGAATGCATATTTAGTCTCTGAGATATGGTAATTTTTAAAAGTGTCAAGTGTCAAACCTGTTTGTCCACACGGACGGCTTTATTCCATTCGCTTGACTGAACTCCGGAGCTTGATTTGAAGACAAAAAAACACTACACCACACTAATACACGTGGACAACAGTGATTTTGGTGACTTGTGTTTCAAATACGCATAATAACGCTACTCTTGCGATTTTTTAAAAGTTTTTTTACCATGTATGGTTACAGAGCTATACTACACTACATTATACATACAGAGTTCAAATAAGTTAAGTCAGTAGGCCTACAATCCCGGCCAAAATGGTTGGGACACTTCCTGAGCCTGCCACGGTCACCCACTCCCCCGCTCCCCCGCTCCCCCGCTCCCCCGGTCAATGTTGTTCTCTCCAGCTGATGGAGCACACACCGCTCAATGAGAGACAACATTGAACGGGGGCCGGGGGGTGGGAGGCCCAGCGAGATTTGGCCAGGATTGTAGGTTAAAAGTCCTGTCCAAAGTGGGTTTCCTTCTTTTTGCACCACCCTGTACATCGACTTAGGGAGAAATAGTTGTAATGGTGTTGTTGATAAAGTAACTTTTTAAACGAGCAAACGACACCCCTCATAATGACCTGCTCAGATTCCTCTTTTTTATTGCTTCAGGTGTTTGCTGTAAATGGGTTATTTATTTTAAGGCGACAACATGAAATCTAAGTAGGTCAAATGTTGTTTTCCCCAAACCTTTGGTGTGAGAATCTGATGAACAAATCAGGCAGAGCCGATTGGATGAGCAATTACAACCAGATGGCGCATTTCTTTTTACAATAAGAAAAACAAACCTGCCTGGGTAATGTCCTTAAACTCGGTCATGGATCCTGGAACCTGTATCATGTAGTCCAGTCCTTCCGGCACATGATAGTTATTACACGAGGAAACACGTGTGATGGCTTTCTATCTTTTGGCCCCGCGCATCGAGATGGTGTTATGAAATGTAACAAATTTAACACCTTAGAGTACACTTTGGCTTTCAACATTAATGTCGCAAAAGGCAAATGATTAGCAACATTAGCAGTGCTGCAAAACCGGGAAATAGCTTCGTGACTTCGGGCGTGATCCCTGGCTACATGGCATAGGCCTATGCAGATTTAAAGCTTCTGACTAGCGCCCCTTGAACACAGATATTGACCAATTGGGGAACCGAAGCCGGCAAACATAGGGCTGGATAGCTCAGTTGGTAGAGCACCGGAAAGGCAATCCGAAGGTCGCAGTTTCAAACCCTGCGCTCCAGTCAATTTCTTTGTTCAACTTCAACTTTGAAAATGTTTATTTCCCCCTCACTTTTAACTTTACACTTTTGTGTAGGCTACCAAAACTTCTCTTCCAATTACGGTCAAGACGTTGTTTTTCCTTTCATGCCATTCCTTCCAGAAATAGAAAGACGCATATTAATTTTTCACGTATTCCAGATTTGTTTGACCTGAAAGACTTAATTTGGTTTTATATTTGACTAAACTGACAATAATTATTTCAAGCTTGCGTATCAAAAGATTTCTGGTTGCAAACTAAAATTTGTTGGAAAAAATCTGGACTGCAAAGGTGCTGTTGACGACTCTGATACATGATGCCCGCTTAAATGTCCCAGCACAACCAAAGTTCAGGACCTCGTATAAAAGCAGTCGTGAAATCAGGGCCCGTTTTAGCACAAGGCAATTGTTTTTATTACGGCCCCAATGTGTGTGCATTCGCGCCATCGGCTGTCATCGAGTGGTCTGTTATTATACAGTTATTACTTGGATTACCAGCCTAGGCACACTTCGTGTATACAATGAACCCACCAGGTGATGTACATGTTTATGCTTCACGTCATCGGTGGGCCTGGGTGGACATCTCGCGATTATTAATAGCCAAATATTATTATTTTGGACAACCCCGTGTGCGTAAACGCGAACCAATTAAAGGTAAACTCAATCAGTACGCGTTGGTTTCTTGTCACGGCTCGGTGACTTCGTCACAGGGACTGGGGATGCAAAGAGTTGGGTTGTCAGACAGATAATGTCCCACCGGGGAGAGTGCCCTGTGAGAGTGTTGACAACTCCCCCAAGCCCAAGTGCCAGAACTCTCGCTCGTTGTGCGTGGCCAAGGTGCGCGTTCGTCACCACCGCGTCGGGCTGGAGAAAGACACATAGATCCAAAGATAAGAGAACTCGTATCGTTTTACATTCGCCATATGGTCAGGAAACCAACCATACTTTTTGAGTTTATCAAGTTTGTCGTCTTGGCATCTGGCACGATGAACCATTAGAAGGGTTGCTGAAAACTTGTATCACCGGGAAATGGCAGGTCATATTCGTTCGCCTTATTGAGGGCGTTTCCGCTTGGCTGACCGACATAAGTGGTTCAAGATTTGTTTCTTTTTATTATGATGACTAATATCATTGGGATACCAGAGCAAATTGTGAGTGACATTTCGTCATGTTGGCAAAACATTCCAACACAGTTAGAAACCCAACAGCAGACATTAAAATATCGACGCAATTACTGGCTTTCTCATATCGAATAATTTTGTTTATGAGTTTTGCTCTCCGTCAATTTGTCTGACTGTCCTTGTGGCGGCGACCTTAAAGAGCTTACATGTCCCTGGGCTGGCGGGAAATCTCTGCACCAGGCGCTGATGTGCCACAGTTATTTCTGGTAAATCCTTATTTAACCCCGACCACGTGTGGAGATTGATTTTGGTTTTAACCCTAGATTTCCTGCGTTCCAACGAAAGGCACTTCAGCCGAGAGTTACCACATGCCAAAAATGGAGGTAGAATTTGTGAATTGTGATTTAAGCTTTGCGATCCAAAAAATCGTTCAACTAATTTTCCCTTTGCGTTTTGAGAACTACATTGTATGCCAAATCAAAAAGAATTTCACAATCATTGGTGAAATTTCGGTCGAGTAAATTCAGCGTATGGATTCATGTGATCTTAGTATACTCGGACAATCTTAAGGAGGAACCCTGTAAATATTTCCTAAGTGTATGGATTCACTTTCTTTCCCTCTGAAATATTTGTGAACCCCCATCGCGAGCCAAAAGAAAAACAACAACAACAACAACAACAAAAAGTAACTGCTATAAATTATACGACGGAAGAATGCAATAAACTTTGTTTAGCTTGTAAAAAATCATTGCATCTCTCTGTCTGACCTAGGGAGTTCTGCTGGTAGGTTATTGAAGGATAAGTGCAACATTTTACCACCAGTTTTATTGTTTGCCTTCTGTACTATCGCAAGCATGTCATAGACAACAAAAACCACATTATAGTTCGATTTGGTAACAGCTGGTGGTTTTATTGTTGGTAATAAAGGGCAGAATATGACGTAGCTGTCAGACACAAGGTTTTTGCACACTGGTTTCCCCATATAATTATGTGTGGTTAAAGAGTTGGTAGAAACGACGGAATGTTTTATGTTAAAATAATAAGTCAGAGTTGTCATGTGTAAATTCAGCACCATTATGCTGCAGAAGTATGAATTCTGAGGCAGTTTGACTTTACGAATTATCTCTGGATTTTCAATCTGTTACCTGATGAGAAATATGCAACATTTACAGATGGAAATGCACAAGTGTCGTAAGTGTTGTTAGCGAGGTAAGATATGCAGTCGTGATCTGATTTAAAAGGTGTTGTGATTCCTCAAGTTTTCCTAGTTCACTTTGATTCCGGTGCAGGATGTCGTAATCAATAGGCATATGCATAAAATAACGAGATGCCTCTGTCGTTGATGCTGCTTTCAGCAGCTGTTTTTGAAGGCACCAAGGTGCCTCAAATGGCGCACTTACTTCAAGCACACCTGCGCAATGCCCAAAATAATCCCATTACCAATATATGTTTATATTGTATTCATGAGTAATGGGATCGTTACAAAAGTTGGAGCGATGGTTTGTTTCCTGGTGTAAACTTAAAGGTTTACAGAAATAGAAATAGAATGGTACAAATGGTTCACAAACAGTGATGAATACGTAAGATACAACGATTTGAGGGTTTGTGTGCGTATCAAGAATTTGTACGGAAAACTGGGACGGAACAAACTCTTTCCTTGTTTCCCGTCCACAAAGAAAAACCGTTCTCTCTGTGACGTCAGCCAAATAACACAAAGTTTGCCTGCCCCTGCAAACACAATGAATTGTGTACACGGCTATTTAATGTATCAGAGCAGGCAAGCTATGGGTTATTTTGCCGATTGCGTCAAGACACATAAAAAAGTTTTTTTGGGGGGGGGGGGCACCTGGGAAAACTGTTTTGTTCGATTCTCAATTAGTTAATGAAACACAAAACAAAACAGAACCGTAGTAATGTATTTAGTTTTACTGGTATCATTTTTCCTACTCAAATAAACATTCAAACTACATTGATTATTTGATTCCGTTTTGCTCCTCAGATCAAGTTGGAGGCAGGGTACAGGGACGGGTGGTTACATCGGTCGCGATGGAGAAGGGGGAGGAATTCCGCCTGACGGTGGAGGACGACGCCAAATGGCTGGAGTGGGCGCAGCGACAATTCGCTGCCATCGCCGGTAACGACCGGCTCATCGACTGGCAGGAATTCAAGTTAGCCCTTAAAGTCAAAAAGGTGGGTCTGGTATAAACTTCGGCTCGGGATTAACTTGAAGACAAGATGTTAATGACTTTGGGGAAGGACGTACGGTGAAGGAAGTACAGGGAGTAAAAGGTTGCCCTTCGGCAAATCGTTTTATTGAATAGAATAGTAAAGGCTCTAAAATTGTTGGTAAAATTGCCTCTCATTTTTGAACGGTTTCGAACTGTCTCGTTACTTCTTCGAGGTGATAAAACTCCAACACACTCCTTTGAGAATTAATAGTACCTCTAAACCTAAACCTAAAAAATTAACCACATTTTCTGCAATAGGAATGTTTTCTTAGCCCGTCTACGAGATCTCTCGTCATTTTGCCACGAGACAAGGCCAAAAAGCACCGTTTTATAAAATACCACCCGTGTTGCCCCAAGGTTGCTCTTTTACCAATCGCACTATCCGTAGTGCCCGCCGAGCGCGCTAATGGTACCCACCCGGGGAGGACGAGCTCCAACGCCCGGGGAAGTCATTCGCTAACGACGCGCTCAACTCGATTCCCGCCACAAGAGAGCGGACAGTTACCATAATTGTCACACTCTCATTCCCGGTGTGGATTACAAAACCAAATTGCGAGAGTTTATTATTTTTTCTCCGTACCGTTTTGGCGCAATTATTTTTACCAAGTGGCGCACTTACAGAACTCTTGTTGATTGATTGAAATGGAGGCCGCTGGGATGTGATCGTGTTGTTTATTTTGTCAGGCTTTCCCGCCAAAATGTGGCGTTTTAGCAATCCTTCGGGTCCATTAATTGAATTGCTGAAAGACACGTACCCTTGGCAGTGACTTAAGGAGTGGAATTTAGCCGACTTTCGCTTGAGTGAAATACAAGCGCTGCTCAGAGTGCGAACATCAGAACTTAGCAACAGGTTTGAGGCAGCAACACAAGTGAAGCATAATTCATTCCAAAATAGCTATGATGATTGTTAGAAAACAAACAGCATTTAAAATCTCCTCGGCTTTTTTTTCGTCTAGCAGCACCTTAAAATTGTGCCCAGACATCAACAAAATAACATCAATTCTAATACTTCGCTAAACTAACATAATTATCTGCCCCGTCGTTTCAGCACAATCTTTAGATCACTTTTGAAATACATAACCAAAAATGTCGTCTTTATCCACTCTTTTCCTCTGACACTTCTGTTGATTTTTCCTTCACTGAATTTCCTCGTTCTCACCAGGAATTCTTCGCCAAGCGTTTCTTCGCGCTCTTCGATGCAGACAACAGCGGTACGATCAGCTTGGACGAGTTAATGGACGGGCTGCGCATGCTCACACACGGTGAACCAGCCGAGAAGCTTCGGTTCCTGTTCAACGTGTATGACGTTGATGGTGGGTCAAAGTTCAACTGTTGTCTGGTCCCTCACCTTCCCTCCATTCTCTTGACTACCTTATGCTGTACCTTCGACGCTCATGAGTTAACAGGATCAGACGAAAATCATGAATATTTCAGCTCATTTAATCATAGCAAATTTCTTTATCATCCGCTCCTTCAGTTGCAATAACTTTACACTCGATAACAAAATATTTTCCCATTGAAAGAGTACCAATTCACGATACCTGTTTTGATCGCAACGCAATAGTAGAAAATGAAACCAGTTTGTATTGATGCCTTAACACTCATGGAGTATAGAAATATAACTTAAGAGTGGTTTTAGGTCAGATTACTTAAGAGTGGTGGGAAAAGCACGGAGGGGGCGGGACCTCAACCCCCTACCACGTACATGTTGGCTCCTATCGTCGCAAGGCATTTGTTAAAGCCTGCCAAGTTTCTTTCACAGCTGTTCTGCTGTCTTGCAGTAATTGTGACATCAACTTTATAGAAATTAGGCATTACTTCGTCATGAAATGTCCATTTTCCAACACAGGTAGGCCTAAATGTTAACTTTTCCTATTGAAAAGTACATGCACATGAAAGCGTGCATGTCAGTGCCGATTAACAGATTGAATTGGAATTGTGCAAATGTACTACAAAATTTAAATTGGGAAAATGAAACCATTTTTATTGATGCCCTGGCACGGGGAGTCAGTCAGCTAGTCAGCCAGTCTTCTGGGGAGTCGGGAGCCAGTCAGTCAGCCAGTTAGTCCGTAATTTATGGAATTCATAGATTTTATTTTGTTTTACATAACTTGGAAAGTGGTATTTGTCTACATGATTTTGCGATTTCTGCTGGCATGTCAATTAAATGCGAACTGCAACAATGTAGGTCTAGTCTCTACCCGGTGACAGAAGGTGGCATATTGTAATTTCAGAAGGCCGTTTATTTATGAACATGATCAATTCAAACGGAAGCAAAACTAAATTATAGACGCTATAAATAATGGCAGTTGTAATTGGTACGATAATGCTGCTGCATCGTTTCACTCGGTAACGACGGAAATGAACAACAGTCATTATTTATAGGTTTTATAACTTCAAATCGATACCTTTAAAGTGGTATTATATTGCTCAAACTTGTTGAGATAAAAAAAATGAATATCCCCAAAAATAATTTGCGATTTCGAAAACGAATGTGAGAAGGTTGTCTGCGAATCAGTAAAATTAGCCGTGTGTCAATTGGGACATTAAATAATCTAAGTAAACGTCAGAGTTTGTGTTGCATCAATTTCCCTGGAATGTTAAGACTATAATCCGTTACCGAATATACTTCCAGATGGTTGGAAGGTACCAGAGCACGCACATTTTTAGCAGACAACACATCAGTTTATGTAATACAAATAGTCTTATTTTATAAGACTATTTGCCCCCAAAAAGTGGGTCCAAAATTACGACACAGTAAAAAGGCATGTGCAGAAATTATGTTGTATGTTTGTTGACAATGTTGTATTTCCAATTATCAAATAATATTTTGGTGATCTGTAATTCATTTCAGTGTTGGACCTTCCATACGTAGTTTGCAACGCATGGTTGGCAAAATGTGCAGTTTGCCAACAGAGCGTAGAAAGGTCTATACTATTGTATTATTAAAGCCGGAGTCCATCATTTGCAGCTATCCAAAAAAGTAACTGGCGTAATTATTGTTGAAAAACATACTGGTTGAAAGATAGTAAGGGGACTAAACTCTGGCAAGCTCTCACTTTGAAGAAATCAACGAAAAAAGGCATTTCCAACGGTGCGTCTTAAGAAGCACCGTAGGAAAATTTAAATTAGTAGTTGAGTAGTCGGGCACAACCCGACCACTCTCTGTTTTTGTTCTGATAAATCTTCTTCTTTTTTCCGGACAATACTTCTCCGCGGCTTTTCTCCTAAACGGTTCATGAAAATGAACTTGTAACTTTCAATATATATCGACCCTCATCCCTAGTGGTGTATATTATGATGACGTCATGATGACGTTATCGGGTGTCAAATTACAAGCGATTTCAGCTGAAAAAGTGATTAATTACTTTCACCTATAACTCTTGAACAAAATAATCAATGATGTTTGTATTTCGTAATCGGATAGACCATGAATTGATAAAAACAAATTTGTCGTGTACGTGAACTCGCTTGACCTTTACTTCCGGGTCTGCCGGAAGGTCAAAGTTGGGTGAATTTAAAATGAAGACTTTAGCCTGAAATCAAAACAAAACAGAATTTCTTTCAAACGGCTTACGGTATGACCCAGAAACCTAATGTGAACTTGTACCATGCTACAAAGATGTTATAAATTTTGTAACGTCATCATGACGTCATCAGCGATCAAATTACAAGCGATTTCAGGGCAAATTTTGACAAAATAGTTTGCGCTAAATCTTTTGAACTAAATAGAGTATCGTGTTCGTTTTTTCGTGAGGTTGTAGGCTATGACGTGAGAAACATTTCTTGTTCCCGGACACAAAACCGCTTGACCTTCACTTCCGGTATTACCGGAAGTGCAATGAAAACCGAATGTAATTCAAAAGCGGAAGCATTTTACTACACACATATAAATTATGATAGTGTTTAGTGAGGAATGCCAGACACAAAAAAAGTGTGATGACGTCATCTTTCGAAAGGGCGCCCCTTAGTGGCACATAACACAGTGTTTGCTCTTTCTAATTTGAAAACCATCCGTTCAAATTTTACCAAATCGCTCCTTGATAATCTTTGATTAACCAAAAATAACTTGGCAAGGTTTCAAATTCATGACGTCATCAGACCGGAAGTTACCCCTGTGAGAATTTGAAAACGACCATATTCTAAAATTCGATTCATGTCGTATATCTTCGTAGCCCAAGTTACGATATACATTACAATGTTCACTTTTTGCTGCCAAATACTGTGACGTCATCAAACCGGAAGTAAGTTGTTATGAATAAATACACGTATATTTTCCATACTTTCATACATCATTAAACTTCCACGATGAACATTTATCCACTCCGAACTAAATCAGTATTCACTTCCCGTTTTTGAATAATGACGTCATCAAGCCAGAAATAACTTGTGTACATAGAATGTTTACTGAATTTTACCACAAAATAATTGATTGTACCTGACAGGATTTAATTTCGTGATTCTTTGATCTTACATAAAAATTTTCATAACTTAACACGGCAGTGTTTATTGAAAAAAATGTCTGCCCGACCACTCTGCGTTTGTAACAACAAACGCGCACCTCTAGTTGTTTTTGTTTTTGTTTTTTTGTTTTGCTACAGGCAGCGGTCAGATCGATCACGAGGAATTACGGACCGTCTTGGAGTCTTGCATGGAAGAAAGTGCCTTACAGCTGAGTTCCAGCGTCTTGGATGAGCTGACAGACGCTCTGTTCGAAGCCGCCGATGAAGATGGCAGCGGTGCCATTTCTTTCGATGAGCTTCGGCGGGAACTGGAGAAATATCCAGACGTGATGGAAAACATGACAATTGGGTACACAATATTCGTATGTCTGTTTGGTATCGAAATTTCTGAAAATTGACCGATGTAGAACTTTTTTTTTATTTATTGATTTATGTTTCGTATACTGAGGTTTGGTGATAATTAAATTGATAACTTTACCAATTAGCAAAAGAAATGTAAATCACTGTTTGTCATAGCGTATCTTGCATGTTTTTTTTTATCAACCCCAGAAATGTGAAATATAATGTGCATCGGGAAATTATTTCAATTCCAAGTCAACTTCCCCCCGGAAACTCAACTTGAAGCACACACACATACCTTGCAGAGAGACGGGCCCAACCCCACCCAAAAATTACTTCCACATAGCACTTTTGTTGAAGATAGTCCCAAGTGCTCGGATTCGTTTTTGATGTTTGAGGCAAGACTGTTTGGAGTTTGTATTTGGGGCCTTTGGTCTACTTAACTTAGTTGTAGTTAACTGTGTGACATTGGAGTCGCCAGAGCCAGAGGGCCGAATAGCGCCCCCCCCCCCCGGTGTCAGATAATCCTGTAAAAAAATGGGTATATTGTTCAACCAGCATTTTAAAATATGGTGGACAAAATATGAGGGAGTTGGCAAACTCTTTTGTGTTGACCTTAATTTAAAGGCTCATTATCACTGATTCGTCTTTTTTTTTCGCCCACAGTGCCGCAGGCTGGCTGAAACCCCCGGACGACGAGCCTAAGACGGGCCCGCATCTACCCCGCTACCTGACCCCCCGATACATCAACAACAACCTGCGTAAAGTCATCTTCGTTATCGCCTACTGCCTTCTCAACGCCGCGCTCTTCACCGAGGCGGCCTACAGGTTCGCCTTCCGTGGGGCCAACTGGTGTATCATCGTCGGTAGGTCTCCGCCCAAGCAACGGGGAGGGGCGTGGGCGGGACTAAAAAAAAAGTGGTTCAGGAAAACGAGAACATGATTTTGTGAGAGGAGGTTATGACGATGCTGTAGCACTTGATTTAACAGATTCAGCTACTTGTAATATGGCTCTAAAAACTCAGAGCTTAGATAATTATTCCCCCTCATGCTCCTCTGCCCTGAAGCAAATTCTGGCTTGTCTACTGAGACTGTGCCAGCAAGGCGCAATGGCACTGCATGCAGGCTTCATCTAAATAATCAAAGGCTTAAATCCACGGGAAGAATATATCCCGTCACTTTTTGACAAGGACGGGATATTTGAACAGAATTATTTGATACAGTTGTGAAAGAAATTGTACAAAGACAAGACAAAAATTTAAGCTACTCATAAAGTAATGTTAAATTAAACAGTAAAAAAACAGTCAATAATTGACATACAGGGCGATAGTGTACATGTCAAAGGGTGTTTAGTCCCTACTCCTCCACCCCGAACCCCGGGATGTTTCAGGAGTTTTCCCCGCGTCATCCCTTAGAGATCTACGCTCTCAGTATAATTTATTTTAGCTGTTTCTAGTGATGGAACCAAGAGTTCGCAATGAGTACGCGAACTAACAGTAGCTAGCAAAACCGTGAGAGAAGACAGTGAAGAATTGTTAAGTTTATACCAGGGAGATTATCTCGGGGAAACCTTGCAGAATCAGTCTGGGACGGGAACGAAATCCCCTCTCGAACCACATCCCGGTTTTCCTCTTAAAATAACGTTTGGGCTGAAAAAAAATTACTTTTGTCATCTTGCCATCCAGCTCGAGGTTGTGGCCAGTGCCTCAACCTCAACAGCTCCCTGATCCTTGTCCTGATGCTTCGCCAGACATTGACATACATCCGCTCCACCCGTGTGGCTCGGTTACTACCCATCGACCAGCACATCATCTTCCACAAGACAGTGGGGCTGATCATAGCGGCACTCAGCCTCGTTCACAGCCTGGCTCACGTGGGAAACGCAGGTAGACAAACAAAACATTTTTAAAAGCCAAATTACTACACGAGGTTATTGTCAAAGGCAACTTGGAGGGACCGAAGTGCATTGCAAGCTAAAGCAACCCCCGGGAACAGTGTAGTACATTTCCAAACGGTATGGGAATCCTTAGAGAATTACAAGTAATTAAAATTTGGCCGTCGATATCTTCGTGGTGATTAGGAGTTGCTCGCAAATTGCGTCTTGCCATACATCGCGGTCCTAACATGCACTGCACTCGTATTCCAACGGCACTAGTGGCGGCAAATATTCCCTTTCGTAAAATATTTTTAAAGGGCTCCTGACATGAATCTTACTTGGGAACATAAGTTGTGCAACTTTTTACTTCTATTAGATATATGAAAACTATTTGACATCCCTTTTTGGTTAATTTTATTGAACAGTGCTCTTTTTGAAACATTTAAACTTGTCCATGCTTTTCCTGACAAATAAGGGGGTTGTTGCTATGATTTCATTTCAGGAAGACACTCTTCACTTTAGGGGTTTTCTGTTCAAATTGTGAACCCAAAATTTGCTCATTGAAAACATTTGTGAGAAAACTTTGCTCATATGCTTACTGTCATGTACTAAAACAACAACGATTCACCAAAGAAAAAAATACGACAGCATAATATCCACAATTCTGACAAAGTTTGGTGCTGAAATTGCTGTAACATTGGGCTCTGCCTAAAATGACATCACACTTTTGCTTATGAATTGGAAATTCGCATTAGCATAAAAACCAAAAAGGCACCAAACTGCCCCTAAAAATGGCAAAATGAAAATTGAAATAAATGGGGCACAAAGGTGCATTTGCAAGTATTGCATTAAAACAATTACATGACAAGGGCCCTTTAAAGGACATGCAGATCGAGCACCGAGATATAACGCAACATACATTCAATGCATACTGTGCAGACTTTACGCACAAACTAAACCACGGTACCAACTTAAGCTGGAACCGTCCCAAGTTAAGTGTGCCAGTTGGAACACTTATAAGTTGGAACGTCCCATAGAAGAAATCACATCATTCACTTCAAAACGAAAACGCGAGCGTCATTTACCTCTGGAATTTTCGAAGAATTCCAGTCATTCTTTGTCTTCTCAGGTATCCCCCAAAATAACACCAGAACCTCAAGAAAGGTTTTTATTTAAAGCTACATGGAAATCAAGATACCCCTTGGTATACCCAGTAGTATCCCAGATGGGTGCATAACTTTCCCACGAAGGTTGCCTTTTATCTCCCACTCTGACATGACAAGCATTCCAATAAAGGTATATTTTGAATGACGTAGTATTAAAAAAAAAATTCCCTTCTTGTTTTTAGTCGTTTATCATAAAGACTCAGTTGCAGTCTGAGTGTAAAATGGCGGCAGTGATTTTGTCTGATTTTCTCACGCGTCGAATGTAAATATCAGTCAGCTGGGTTCTTTGGGTATCAACTCACCCGCTGATCCCGATCTATTTCAGGAAACTCAGCCCGCCTGTCATTAAGCCCACTTAAGTACACCCACTTAGGGAATTTAGCTAGAATTTTCTGGAATTATGAGCTCAATGGGATCCAAATTTCAAGCTCAGTATGCTAAGTTGTCTGAATGGAATGGCTGAGTCTTTTTTAGTGGTCAGACAGTTGGAAACCTTTGCTAAATTCTATTTTAATTAAATAAAAGTACATTTTCTTAGTTCAGGTAAATGACTGAATAATTATGACGAAATGGAAACTGTTATTGTTCTTTTTACCTGATGTCCTACTCACATATCGAAGAACCGTTTAGCCTTATAGTGCACTGGGGACAAGTTTGCGGATACGCTATGTGCGTCATATTAAATGATTTACTGTAAAATGTCCACGTAGAAGCGGAGGTATAAACTCGACGTTTCGGCTAGTTTTGATATGACCATCATCAGAAAATAGACTTTACACATCTCCCATATTATTTTCACTTATCTTAAGGATTCGTCACTTCATATGGTGTTTCCTTACATTTCCTTCAAATCACATTCATAGTCGGGGCTATACATTTCAAACCTGACAAAAAATTAAAATGGATCAGAGGGGGCTAATTTCATGGCGTCGATAATTTCGCTTTGCTCAGAAAATATTTGCGTAGCAAAAAAGGTTACCAACTAAAATTCCATGGGGTGTATATTGATTGTGGTTGGTTCATTAATGCGTTTAGCTTAGCAAGAAAATAATATTAATTTCAGCTCCATAAAACTGGTCACGGGTTCGAACTTTTTTTTTTTTTTTTTTTTTTTACCAAACTAGTCATCATCACGAGTCCTTCGGGCCCTCTTCCCAACAACACTGCCTGGGATGTCCTGTTCACCCAGCCCCACCTGACACCCCTGGGACTGGTCAAGCACAGCGCCTTCCTGACCGGCTGGCTGCTGGACATAATCCTCGTCGTCATGGTCATCTGCTCGTTACCCTTTGTCCGAAGGTCTGGTAACTTCCAGGTGAGTGGAAACGGGACATTCAGTATTTCACATCAGAACGTCAAGCTTGCTACCTTAAGGACGAGTTCGTTTCGAGTTCCTACACTTGCTAAAATACAAGATGGCATGGTAGCAATCTAGCTTAATATAAGTACCTTTCTTTTGCGAAGTCACAGCGCAGTGGTACTTTTTTTTACAATAAACGGGGTGACAAATTGAGGAATACCACATTTTCCAAAATAAAATAACAAGTGTCAGTGTTTTAGAAATACCACTCAACAATTCATATCACTTACTAATCAACAGACGCTACTAAGTGCCGAATGAAAATGACTGTCTCTTAAATATCGAGAGTGTAAATGTGTCATTTCGGGGGAAAATCTGTTGCCAACCGCGCCTACAATATGTCACTGATGGCCGCCCCTAGAACACTCAATATTTGCAAAGAAGAGAAAAGGTCGTTATGTTGACAGCGTACTTTGAATGAGCAGTGTGGGTGGTGACGCAGTCTGACGCAGCAATGCATGTAATGCAGAGACATTTTGATGAAACTTGCTTTCGGGAAGATATAAATTTTAATATTGGGTTTTCCCCTTCACCGAAGCAATATTATAAGCACTACATACTATAAGTAAATACAATATTCGGGTGGTCAAAGCCAAGACAACTGTCTTATCTCCAGGTGACTCAACTACGAGCTTGCTGGGATCGTCCTGCAATAATGTACGGTCTTTTTTCCTCTTTGGCTAGGGAATGTGTGGCACTTAAGTTACATTAATGTTTGCTATGAAAATAATCTCGAATGGGCATTCGGGATTTTCGCCTCAGAGATCCAAGAAACGTGAGTGAATCGTTCCTTAGATTAACCCAAGGTTAAAATGCATCTTCAGCCACCTTGCTGGGATTTTTCTTCGTGTTTCAAGTATGTACACTTGCTCAGGATTTCAATTTTCGAGAAGCTATACATCATTACCGTGTACTCTCTTGTGACACGGCATTTCGTGACTTTGCTTACAGCGGACGGCAGGGAACGTTAGGCGGGGAAGCACCCCCATGCGACTCTGCAGTTGATTAGCTCGCGAGGCTTGATAAACACTGGCTAAATTGAATATTTTCCCAACAACCTCTGTAAATTTGCACACACAAAAAACTTTCCTTTTTCAGTGCTCGATTCCTCAAAATTTCCGTCTTATTTCGTGTAGATATATTTTCAGCCGTCGTACAGTAAAAGTGCAAGCTTAATGCTCCGTGCAAGGACACGTATGTAGATTGAAAGCGCTTCACGTACCAGGAGTTATCGTATTGCACACAGTATATCAAGCCTAAACATTTGAACGTGACAGCTCAGTTATGTCGTGCCTTCTCATTAGAGATTTATGAATTATGTATGTGTTCATGTCATCATACCCATGTTCGCCGCAGGATAAGCATGAAATCACATGCATCATTATCCAGTGACAACAGAACTTAAGAAATTAATGCATGTCTAAATATGATTTAAAATCAATTGTATTTATTATAGGTTTTAACGGTTACTTTAGCTTTATTGGTTGATAGGTCGAATTACACTGCACACAAAACGAAATCTAGTTACTTTGTGAATTTTTATAATACAAGTCTGCAAGTATCGGGAAAATATATATGTAAATTTCTGTAACATTTTACAATAATTCACTGACGTAATCTATACTGACTTTCAAATAAACTGACAAGGTGTATTATAATACTGTAATTGCTATTTCCCAGGTTTGCAACATTGCTAATGTTGCTAGCATCGTGACTTTGGGCGTGATCCCTGGCTACATGGCATCTACGGTTTTATGGCTTCTGGCTAGTGCTCCATTGAACAAGGATATTGACAAAAATGGGGAACCGCCAAAATAAGGCTCGATAATTAGCTCAGTTGGTAGAGCCCGGAACGGCAATCCAGAGGTCGCAAGTTCAAACCCCGATCCAATCAATTTTCTTGTGCAACTTTCAGAATTGAGTAATTTAGTGATTGTTTTCTTTTGATTCATTCATTTTATCTATTAGGTTGTTTATTTACTTTTTGAGGGAATCGTAACAAACTTAGGTGCACCTGTATACAAACAAAAGTTAGCCACCTGTTAAGCCTACATGATGATCCCAAAATCTGCACACCGATTTTCCAGCATTGTGATTTTGATTCAGAATAACCATACGTGCGTGGAAGGTGAATTTGGCGCGTTACGGTCACGTGATCATGCACTTTCGTAATTTGGCAAATTGACCCACGCCTGTGCAGATCCAAATGAAATGAAATTAAAACTACGTGAAATATGGTTGTCCGATGCATTTGCAAGTTGTGTGTTGGTTTCTGTTGTTGTTGGAGACAATCTGTCTGGACCCGCTCATTAAGCCCATTGTCACAATATGTATGGAGCACACAATGACAAATTGAGGCAAAGGAAACCGAGACAGGAAGTCAGGAACACCTTGCCTGAGTCGCGTCTGGTTTGGCCGGCGTTGATTCATGAGGCATCGCGCTGACATCTTACGATTTCCGACCTTCGGTGGTTAAACAGGTGCGCCTTTTGATCCGAGCAAAAACAAGCCATTCCGATCGACAGCCTCGTTATTGATCACTCCCGGGGACGCATTAGTGAGGTTCAAAGTTGAAGGTATTTAAAAAGAGAATTTGTATCATAATAGGCGATACTCCTATATGAAACTTTTTACCTGTGCACTTTCAACGAACGTTTTTGATTTTTGCGCCGATCGCCATATTGGAACCAAAGCGAGGCTATAGGCCTAGTTTTGACTGTTCGGCTCCATGAGATTGCTAGGCTATAATGTACAGGTGGCTGAAGTTATGCAGGTAGCCGAAGACTGCCAATAAATGTAGCCTACCTTTTAATCCAACCTTGCAAGGGCCCCATTAGGGTTATTTTTCTATAGATTCTTCATTAACATGCCTACCTGTAGCTATCTGCATATTAACGATGCGACAGAGACTAATTTACATTTGTTTTGCAAGAACGGACTCGATTCTCGTCCAATACTTAATGGCGATTCCTTGAAAAGAGCAAATTGTCTTTTACTTGCCTACCATAATTATAGAGACCGGTATACTTCTTCAAAATGGCGGCCGGTTGGGTGACGTCATTAAGGCATTTTAATATAATTACAATTCTCACCATTGTTCACAAAGCCACGGACCCTCTGATACCGAGTTTGTTCCATTGAATTGCTCCAAAAAAAAACCACCCCAAATTTGGTAAACCTAACCGATTTGTCTTACTAAATACAATTAGCATTTTTTAAAATTACATTTCGTACATCTGTGGTAGAACGACCCATGCGTCACGCATGAACCAAAAAATGCCGCATTTTTTATAAGCGAACGGTTTCCAACATAAGACATTCTGTAGATATCCTCTCCCCGACATTTTGAATGATCATAAGCAAACAGTAAAAAAAACCTACATCGTGGCGATTTACGTCCGAAATGTTACCTTAAGTGTGCATATACAATTCAAGCTAGACACAATACTGAAAAAGGTTGAAGTGGTGTCATTACTTTCTCATTTTTGACCGTAGGTGTTTTACTGGACCCATCTGATGTACATCTTCTTCTGGGTCTTGCTTCTGATGCACGGCCCGCGCTTCTGGTACTGGTTCATCGTCCCAGGAATCATCTTCATCCTGGAGAGAGTCAGCCAGCTCCGGCTGGTCCGTCAGGCCCAGTTCGGCAAGATGTACGTGGAGAAAGCCGATCTGATGCCCTCTGGGGTAAGAATGAAAATGCCCCTCCCCCTCCCCTCGATCCTTCTCCTGTGTTACAATGGAGAATTAAGGGGCTGGAGGGGTGGCCAACCAGCCCCATTCCGTATGAATAACAGTGATGTATTCGACTCCATCACAAGTCATCGCAAGTCCATTATGCTCAAGTCCACCACATGCCATTAAAACCCAAGTCGAGTCACAAGCTATTTAAATGTACTGTGATAAAGGTAATCCTTCATTCACTATTACTTGTGACCGGCCTTGTGAAAGGACTTATGATTTACTTGCGACTGGCCTTGCGATGGACTTGTGATGTACTCGACTTCAGTAATGATGAATAATGAAATTACATTGAGACCGAATCCCACGAAATAACTCTCATAAAAGACATTATTATTTTTCCCAGTTTTTCCGGTGCATAAGGAAGAGCCTAACCCCATCTTCATTTTGACCTACGTAATTAACATATTAAGAAGTGGATAAGGTTGACCGTTTCTATTGATTTCCATCGTGTAAAATTCTGTTAGAAGGTTATTAAGTAGAAGTAGCTCAGGCGGCTTGTTTCTCGTTTTGTTGGATTGGCTGAAATTTACGTATTTATCAAAAAAGAAAAGAAAGAAATCCCAAATTTCTTGGCTGAAATAACGTCATGTTATATTAGAATCTCGGTCCATTGCTTACAGGCCTTCAGTTTATGTACGAGTTGACTTCTAACATCACCCACTACTTTTAGAAGTCCTCGATCTGACACTGTTACTAATTCGTGCCTTCTTTCTGCCTGAAACTGACCGGTCCAGCCTGACCTTTGAGTGTATATGACAACATCAATTACATAATGCCGCTGCGAGACGACTGCGGGTCGACAAGTCGCTGCAGGGGCGGGATTTTATTTCCCGCGCTAAAACCAAGTCAACGATGCGTAACCATGCGAAACCTTCGAGCTTCCATTTTTTTCCTTCCAATCTCGTCGTGAATGAATCGCCTTAAGCGGAGGCCACTTTAAAATTAAATCATGGTTTGCACTATACTCAACTACATTCAGCTGTAATATTTCTTTTCTACTCTCCACACAGCAAAGAGAAATATGACCCTTTAAATTTATCATATCAAAGATACCTCCTATGGACATTTTAAAGCCAAACTTAGCAAACAAATGCTCAATTATGAATCGTTCCAGATAATCAACATGATTTATATTTTGGGGAAAAAATGAACTTGAGTGAAAGACGTCAATTTGGATTAAAAAGAAAAGAAAAGAAAAGAAAAAACCAACACACAGCCGTCCCACCAGCATCTAAAAGAATGGGCCTAGGAATTATGACTAACACTGTTATTCGAGAACAGTCAGGATTTAGACTAAGTAACGATACCAAAAATACGCGCTCGTGTTGTCACGAAAAAAGGGTTGATAAATGATATTTTTTAATGGCTTGAGCTTAATTATTATGCCGCGTCATTTCGAAGCTTAATACAATAAATGAATCATATCTAAGGACAAATATGACGTCAGGACGCGTCGCATTTCAGAACTGATTTATTAATAAGGGTATGGCATTCAATACAGTTGGGTCAGCTCGCGGGAAGACCCCTCTTCTCATGACGTCATAGATTACATTTTTTCCTGTGCATAAAATTTCTCGCAAGCTCTATAAGCTCCATGTCATTACACGACTGTGCAGGTTAATTGAGCTGTAAACTGCATGCACAAAGTGTAGGCTATGTGCGATACAATGCTCATGGCGCTGTTGACTGGAGAACCAGTAGCTTTGCAGGTTTAGGTGCTATTACTAACCTTAAAGAGAGTCGGAAACCAGTCAAAACAATATCCATCACATTTTAGCTGGTAATCTTTCTCTGCCGAGGGAGGCGCTCAACGATATCTTCTGTGATATTTTTTTTATGCAGTTTAATTTAATGGTTCGAAGTAATCATTCTGAAACACGGATCGATCCATGAACAAGTGTATATAGGCTAGACGTGTTATTCCAATTTTTGCATATCTGTTTAATAGCTGAACCAGAACGAACTTCTGTAAATTCAAATCCAAAGGAAACTACCTAAAGGTGACAGAACTTGGCCTAGGTTTGCCAGGCACAGAAAAAGACTTCTTCGCAAAAAAAGGGGTAACAAGCCAAAAAGGCATGCAATATTTTGGCTATTTTTTTTTAATGGTCCCTGGCCATCGTTTTGCATGGCGCGCAAATTTACTAACTAAGCGTAATTTCAGCTGAGCAGGTTTGGCCCATGGCTCTCGAGGTGGGCGAGGTGGGCAAGTTAGGCAAGTCAAATCTTTCCCACTGAGCATTAGGAAAAAAACAAAGGCCTACCGGACTTCGTTCCTTCCCGCCTCCGTCAATTTACCGCCCATCACGGCACACTGAGGACCGAATTACCGGTGTTTAAAGGTTACTGCTCGGGGCTTAGGTCTCTGTTACTGTCCCCTGTTGCTGACCACCCAGGAGGATTATTATCAAATCTGATGCCAATAAAAATAAGACACTTTTTTTACCTCTGGGCTTTAAATTACTGAATTAAACGTGTAGATGCTTGCAAATTCTGGACAATCGTGAGTAAGCCGGTTCTGAAAATATCAATTCAGTTCATACTTCATTGTGCTCACTGTACAAAACTGAACAAAATGGGAATGAAACATGAAACTTAGGGTATCGAATGCGAAGTGTCATTTTGTAAATAATTACCGTGAGGGGTGAGTAATAAATTAAATTTAAATGAAGTACATTGGCGCCTTACAATAACTATCTAAAGGCACTCTAAATCTTAATTAATCATGGTTTTATAATTAAAGTTTTAATGCTTGGGTTGGAAAGTGACTTGACTTGACTTATCAGTCGCTGATACATTTTCCACTAAAATATTTTGCAGGGACGAAACAATTTTGCACGAGATTTATGTCATGTAAAATTTTGTTTTCAATTTTATTTCTCCCGTAATTATTTTTTGTTTTCGAAGTAGAATATGCTTAAGTGTTGGGAAAGGGCAGCCGTTTTCATTTATTAACATAACACTGGTACAAAGTACTCATTTTGGTGCCAGAATCGAGAGGAAAGGCACATTTAAAGCGAAATGTATTCGTGCTGTCCATCATTATTAAAAGCTTCCGCGGTTTTTACCCTTAATTGCATTATTCATAAGCAGGACAAACGATAACTACACTTGAAAAAGCAAAAATATAATCTATACTGTCAAAAGTCCCTGGTGGTCATGTTGCCCAACTAAACCTAAATTCACGTTAAACCGAACCTTGTTTCATTATATCTTATTAATTAGTCACAATCCAGCAATCTCGCCTAATCTTGGACTGAACTGACATCGTCCGTAGACGATACAAACTGTCACCGACACTGTGTCTCTACAGCCCATCACAATTAGTGGAGAAAATATCCGGTCTAATCAAAGATTAAGATTTAAACTTCGTGATCTTCTCCTCACGATGCTTACTTAATAATTGATCAACAAGGACACAAAGAGCATCTTAAAACCCAATGGGACATTTGAAGAAATCTCGTTGATTGATTAAAGATGAACATCGTGAACACACTCATCTTAACGGGGTTATATTGATTCAAGTTAGGAGTAAGTCGGTGCTGTATTTTTTTAAGCATGATTTCGATCTATTGTACTGGATGTAAATGAACGACAATTATTTATATCTAGCACAAGTATGGAGTTATCGGTGACATGTAATGTTAGGTTTAGTTCGGATTGGACAGCCATGCTAATGTAACTCAAGGGAGTTTCATCACGCAAAAAAGTCTGGAACCAATACATTCAAAATGGTTCGGACACAAGCTAGCTAAAGTTTGATATGCTCTGCTCATCTCGAGATTTGGGCGTTAAATTGACTGGTCAATGGTCAGGGTCACCTAGATATTTGATTTCTAACCTGATTTGTAACCACTTTCATTACTGATGTAAATACATCGCTTAGACTGTGTGGCGTGCGGTCAATCGATACAATTAAGGCAATCCGAAGACATTAAGGGATACAGCTTGTCACAACCGTACGGTCTCAAACTATGTACTCATTGGTAAACATGTATCTTCACCTTGAAAATAAAATTTCCATTTGTCATTCAGAATGGTTCGACCAATTACATGGCCATGACAAAACAGATAAGGACCATGGAACAGATGGGGTTTTGCATGTGTGCTGATTATTGTCTGCTAAATTACAGAGATACCCGTGATTTCAGTTGCTTCGGTTTTTTTGTCCGGCATTAGCCGTGGTCCTAGCAATAGCCGCACAGAACAATGCCTGTTCGAATAGACCTTGTTGTTTGCTGCCACCAACCGTTCAAAAATGTCATTTGTTTTTCCTTTGTCAGGTGACACATCTCATGATAACGAGGCCGCCTCATTTTGACTACTCGCCGGGAGATTACCTGTTTGTGAACATTCCCCAGATTGCTAAGCACGAATGGCACCCGTTCACGATCAGTAGCGCACCAGAAGAACCGGGTAGGTCTCTAGGAACCAGACTCAGGAACTGCTTAGCACTATGCTAAGCACAAAATATAGGCCCCCTCTATGATTTGCAAAAGAATCTTATCAGCTAAAAAAGCTTTAGAAAAGAAATAGACCTTATTCATGAGGCAGCCATTTTTGATCATGTTCCCTGAGTCTATTTTATAAATTGTAAACTCATTGGGTTATTAATGAGGAAAAATAGGGACTGACAATCCAGTCCACGTTATGCGCCAGGTGGAATTTGAACAGGGGTCACAAGAGGTGCAAGGCTGCACAGTTACCCCGTCCCAACCTGACTGCTGTTCCATCACCAGTCGAAGGAGTTTGAAAGAGTGACAAATCCTGACTTAATTTCGACAGTTGGCAAGTTTTAGAAAACAAAAATCTTGTAATCGAGCCATTTAATCAAAAGTCAATTCACACGTTAGATCACAAGTAAAGGCTATAGGAGGTGAACACTGACAACAGTTACAAACGAATGTGACTTCAAGACTGGATGACTTGAGATGACTTGAGATGACTTGTGATGTCTTGTGATGTCTTGTGATGACTGACTCGCTTACAACTCTGCTGATAAAGTCACTATAAGATCTTGTATTTTGCTCCAATACAGACACCATATCGTTACACGTTCGATCGGCCGGCAATTGGACCAACAAGCTGTACAGTTTCTACGACGAGCGGCACAAGCGCAACCGACAAGTGTCGATCCGGAGCCGATCGCGGAAGTCCAACGGCAGCACGTCCACAGAGAAGGCAGCCGAAGCGGACCCGCTGTGTTTGGACGTGCCGCCTAGCCCTCCCTCGGACCCTTACAGGTACCGATCCGGCGGGGATCAAGGGAGCCGGCACCCGGTGACCAAGAGTATGGGCTGGGTGAGCATTATTAGTTGATGATCCTCATGATCCAGGTGATCACGAGTCAGCCATTCGAGACCAGCTGTTCTCAAATTAAGTATTCCTATGTTCACTACCCAGTTGCTTGTGATCTTGGAGGTTTGAGGCAACGCAATATTATTACCCCATCCGTTACTTATTTAGACACAAAGTAATGCTCAGTTGCTGACCTTTTTAGTGATTAATCATTCAGGCGAAGCCAAAACTTGTTCTCGTGGGCAAAATCTGAAGGTAAAGGCACTTTGTGATGGGAGACATTTTGTTGAAAAGCATAAGCAAGGCCGGGCTTGAATCCACACTGCAACTTCATATTTTTGATCAAGGCTGTGACACTGCACGGCTGTATGAATTATCACCCCTCGCAAGGAAGTTTTAACCTTTCCTGATCTCAGTAGACTTAAGCCCGTCGTCCAGTAATTCTGCCGCAAAAAGATTAGTTTTGAAAACCAATTAAATCATTGCAAACAGCTGGCTGTATCCTTTCCACCTGGGCTAAGTATTCCCGCTTTCCCTGCAGAGCGACAAAAATGGGAAATCGGCAACTTACGTGGAGGTATCGACGGGCGGCAAGCATTCCAACGGCAAACATCGAAAGTTGAAGAGAGACCCAACGAATGACAGGGTCGAGGTGAGAAGCCAGTGCGGGATTCGAACCAACCCCATTCATCAGATCACTCAGTCAAATGCCATAAGGGCGACTCAACGTCTAATGGCCAACTGCTACAGATCTTAATACATGTAGCATTCCAGTGCTTATGTTATATACCGGTACAAGTGTACTATACAATATAGACTAAAGAAAGGGCACATAATGGTTTTGACAGAACATTTCATGTTCCACTTATCCTTTTGCCGTCGGCCTAATTGTTTCTAAGCTGAGGCACGTTGACGTGTGGCAATTTTTTTAATAGTAACACCGCAAAATGTAGCAAAATTGATACCGAAAATTTGCTACCTTTATATCATGTACTTTGTCGCAGTGTACGTAAACGCTTGTCTATCTAGTAAGTTTGGTATAAGCGGAAAGTTCCCTCTCACTGTCGAATGATTACAATTTCTTGCCTGATTTCTTTCCCATGCGAAGGTTTTCATCAACGGGCCATACGGCACGGCAACCCGGGCCATCTTCCGTGCCGAGCACGCCGTGCTGATCGGGGCAGGTATCGGTGTGACACCCTTCGCGTCGATCCTTCAGTCCATCATGCTACGGTGCCGCACGAATCAGCAGACTTGTCCAAACTGCCAGCACGAATGGATTGGGAGCGTCCCAGAGCATGTCATGCGTATCAAAAAAGTGAGACGATCAAACAACTCCAACAAACTACAATTTAATCTTTGCACATAATCACAAGTTGAAACAAAATACTCTGGTTATTCCTAAGCAGTCACTCACATTTTTGTTGTTGAAACTTATGTTTTGTACCAGGTGGACTTTATCTGGATCAACCGCAACCAGAAGGCCTTCGAGTGGTTCGTCCGTCTGTTGACCCAGCTGGAGCTGCAGCAGGCCGGCATGTCCGAGCGATTCCTGGACATGCACATGTTCATGACAGCAGCCCTGGGCAAGACGGACATGAAGGGAGTCGGACTACAGATGGCGCTAGACATCATGCACAGCAAGGGCAACAAGGACATGATCACGGGGCTGAAGACCAGGACGCAACCCGGCAGACCCGACTGGGATAAGGTGAGGTGACCCATCTAACACTTGGTGGCACTATTTGGAGTGTCATCGGACACTAGTAGGTCGTTACGAAATCCCGGCTTCCTCGACCTCTTTGGCTTTCGTCTCCTGCCTAAGATAAATAAGAACCCTGCCACGTCCAAACTCAATGGAAGTACACCAACCGTTAGCCATGACGGGATTTGGTGTTTCTAAAGCAAAATATGGACCAATACTGTACTGGGGTCTGCCCATTCAGGGGGCTGAAAGCACTAAGATGGAGCATGAAGCAGTAGACGGAGATGATGCCAAAATTTGTTAATGCCAAGATTTGTCAATGGTAAAAACTGGTGTGTAACGACAATTATTGACATGACCGCGTTTATGACTTCTCCCTGTCGTCTCTATTGTTGAAATCAAATTAACAATTAGAATCATAGCTTAGGTATTCATCTTCATTTGCCCCCTGTTTTGTTACCGCTTTTGCATTTCCTTTCGGCGGGGGGCAGGGGGGGGGAAGGGGGCGACATTGATCTCATCCCAGAATCTTCCTCCTCCCCTCGATGCTGATCTCAATTCAGACTGCAGACTCATAACAGACTCATCACAAACCAATTTCATATGTTGTTGCTTTATGCTTCTCTCCAGCTCTTTGCCGATATCACGGGGCAGAGGAAGGGAAAAGTTCAAGTCTTCTTCTGCGGGTCGCCGATCCTGGGCAAGACAATCAAGGCCATGTGCGAGAAATACAAGTTCCACTTTCACAAGGAAAACTTCTAGACAGTTGGGACCGTCAGTGGTCAGAAAAGCTAATTCCGTCTCCAAACGACTGGGAAAAATAAAAGTATAGATTGACCTCGTAGTCTCGGATGGGAGTGTCTTCACAAGATATGGACACGCCCATCGAGGAATCACTGAGAACCTATATGCACAATTCAGATTTGATTGCCCTTTGTATTGGGTTGGACCTCGGGATGAGGAAAAATGTTCCCAGTTCCCACAAACGGTGGACTAGTAAGACACGTTCTCCGATATCTGTTTGAGACCGGCGTTCCGCGTATCCGGAGCCGCGCCGAACCAGAAAGAACCAGGAGTGACTCAGATCGACCAGAATGGTTTCTGTTGTCAGCCTGGTGAAATGTATGGACTTATGTTCCACTGATAACCCTCTGAGTCGTTCGAACGACAGCAACAATCTTTTTAATTCGCATGCAGTCGTTCAATTTTTTTCAAACACCTCAGCTCATTTAAACCTTTGGAATCGTTTGGAACACCAGTCGGAAACTGATATACGCCGTTCGATACAGGACTGAAGGGAACAAGTTGGAGTATTTCATGTGACAAAGAGCAGCATTCTCGTCGAAATACCGACATAGCACAGTTGGGTATTATGCATGACACATAAATAAAATAAGCCGCAGTCGTAAAGTACATAATGCAAATTCGCTATCATACAAATTCCTTCTTTTCTTAAAAAGAAAGGAAGACATTCACGGAAGTATTGTAACCTCTACTGGTCCAAGTAAATCAACATATGTAAAACATTGGACGCCTCAGATAGAAAGCAATATACATAAAAAAAAGTTGGGCTTAAAAAACAATTTTCGATTGCTCTTAATCGCCCAAACACTGAGAAAATCAGAACAGATTTTGTAATTATATCTCATGTTGCTCTTTTGTTTTGTCACATACGTTCGTATCACAAAGTATTTAATCAAGCTTGTTCAAATTTTGTAAATAAAATTTGGCTAATATAAAACCATCCGTTTTAAAACTACTTCTTCTGAAAGATATTTATATTATTGTACATTGAAAGTTTGGCAATCTTAATTTAATTTGCATATATCCATTATTTATGCTCTAATTTTAATATAGATTTAATTGAAGATGGTTTTTCAACAGCGAGGAAGAAATATTTATAGATTGGAGAGTTATTTTGGCGATAGTGGTCGTCAAAACAGTGAATGACTTGGATATTAGGGTTTTGACGTCAGGGTGATTGTGAACGATAATGGCGAGAATGTGAAATGTTAGCGATGATTAGGATGATAATGATTCCTTAAAGGATGATGATGTAAAGGATGGTAATGATTATGGAGATTTTATGGTGAATATGCTGATGATGGTGAGGTGTTAGTGATGAGAGGGGTGCATGATGATCGCATTATCGTATAAATAGGAAATGTTGCCAATGCAAGGAGCGTGCAAGTCTCTCCAGTTTCCGTTCACATTTTTTATCCTAGTACCAAACGTTGACAAGTCTGGTCACGTGCTCTCTGTCTTATGCATCATCCATTGAACGGAAGTTTAGTTCAAAATATTCTTATTTTATCATGGTCTTCAATTTGTAGTAGTTATTAACAAAATGTTTTTTCAATTGTAATTAACTAAACAGAACTTATCTATTGCCCCTGACTGAATACGCCCAATTAGGCAAAAAACAAAAAAAAAAGCCAAATAATGACATTGCACACATTGTTGCTTCTATACACGACGTGCCCGGAAGCGAGAGTTTAATTTTCTTTTATAAAGTGTGTTTTACCGAGTCCTACTGATCGATGAAATGTCCCTGATTTATGGCTCTAGAGAATTTCTTTCGTAAAGAGAAGTTAGGTCCAAGAGCATTCCGTTACCAACTGACCCGGAAGTCACAAATTCCCGCGCAAAACCATCGCTTTTTGAAGGTCAAATTGCACGCTCTGTGACAATGGTAAAATATGATGAGGAACTAGAGCGATATTAGTGGTGAAGGCGGGCCGGGATGAAGTGTGGGTGGTATTGATGGTGAAAGTGATGGAATGATCCTGGTGTGTGGTTATGGATAACGGCGGAGATTAAGATGGTGGTAATGACATGTTTGATTTTGGTAAACCAGTGTTGCCGATATAGTGCTGACGGTAGTAATAAAAACAAAAGAAGCAATAATGTTGATACTGGTCATTGAATGGCCCGTTTTTCAAAGATATGTTGATTGTTTTATTAGAAAAATTTGCACGGCACATTTTACTAAACTCCAGCTTAGCATCTATAATAAAAAATGACTCAAAATGAGTGTCTGTGGTGACTGTGGTGACACTGTTGGTGAAAGTGAAGGTCAGATTATTGACGATGATGACAATGGTGATGAATTGTGATACGATATCAGGCTGACCATACAACAATCTTATTATACTTACCATTTGTAATTATCGATACGATACAGATAACTTTTTTTTGTAGTTCGTGGGATCAGTTGAACCCACGTTCGAGAAGCTCCAGCTCATTATTATTGGCTTATGTCAGTCTATGATGTACTTTAAATGTTTTGATTGATTGTAATAAAATTGCATTGCAAGATAATACACATTTTGCCTTAGAAGATTGGTTTTCTTTTGCGGGGATTTTGTCATGATTTACAGACAAATTATAGTGTAAAACTCGAATTTACAAATTACAACCAATTGCAAAGTTTGCAAACCAAAGTATGCCCAATTTCTTTCGATTTGAAATGCTAATTTGGGAAAGTGTAATTATAATAGCTAGGCTAAACTTTGAAATGTTTACAATCAGGGGCGAAGCGAACGGTGGGTACATGAGGGGGTGTTACACGCCCCCCCCCCCGAATTGTTTCTCTTACCCTCCATAATTTCTCGGTTTTTAGAGGTTCAGGCGGCAAACCACCAACGGCAAATACAGAACAAGGGCTCGTCCCATGGTTGCCCCTAGAGAAGGGTGTGTGGTGACACACCCCGAATTTTTATCAACCCCAAATTTTTATCAATATGCCGCAACGAAGAGCGCCACCTATTGTCCTACATTGTCCGACATCGTCTGCTTTGAATAGCGCCTCCAATAAATATAGTCAAATCGTATGGTCCTCCCAACCCACGGAGGGCTGACACCCCATTCAAAACGGTCTCCATATAATTATACGCCTCTGATTACGATTTGAGTTTTGCTTTTCACGTCACTGACAACACATCAGCGCCCATTTCGATTATTTCTCATACAGCGCCTTCTATGTACAAACTTTACTCCATATCTCGCAGGCCCAAACACCACCCATAACCAGAAGGTCAAGCAACATAAAAGGGAGGAAACGAGGCAACACCCTAAGCCTTGTCTGCCGAATCAACCTAAGATCCCTGTACCTTTACGAAGATGCTAACCTAGACTTGGCGGGCAGTCCCTACTGTACATACCGACCACGTTTAGTTTACAGTTGGTATTTTTACGAAAGGTAAATTGAAAGATGCTGAAATACACTACGGGGATTCGAATCCGGGCGCCGAACCTAACCACTCGGCCAAATATTTACCTTACATTTCTTTTCAACTCAATCTGTCTTTGACGGGACACGTGGAAGAAGATAAATCCAAAATGCTCTGGCTCCATGGACGAAACGGAGACTGCATTTTGAGGAATTAGCACTCACTGTGTTTGATTTGTTTGGAAATCGCCGTGTAGTGTTGGATGAGTTTCCAAAACTATGTCGTGCATTTTTTTTTTTACACCTAAGCTGTGATTCAGCAGGTGGTTTATGAATTGGAATGATAAATGCTTCACAATCGAACCCCAAATTCACCGGAAATGTTGTCCATTAACAAGAACAAGGATGCACGTAAATAACAGTTTTTAGATTTTAGATTTGAGATTTTATTTCCTGTACTCACATAGGCTTCAGTCGGTTATTTCAATTGAAGACAATGGTTTGTTTTTGTATTTTATTATCTTAGACAGCTGTACATTTGACATTCAAAAAGTACAAATTACGCAACAGGTGTTTCTAGTGTACATAAGTGTAGCAGTGGGCCTAATTATATATCTGTCACTTGGTGCAAGTCACACACATGACTGTCAGGACTGGTGAAGACATTGGTCTGACTCACAAGAATAATTTTGTTCATCTCAAAGGTAGGTATAATTCATTTAAAACGGACAAGCATTGTTTGGATTTTAAAATTTCATTGTCTGCATTTCAGAATAATATTGAAAGATTTACGTTCAGTGGTGACATTAAAACGGGGCGTTCAAATCCCGTCATGGTGAAATAAAGGCACTTTAGCAAGATAGTTTATACAAATATAATTTAATTCAGTAGTTGTGATGATCAAAATCAGAACCTGTAATTATTGTTGCTGTATTGACTTGTTCAAGCAGACCGTGTTACATTAAAGTAACACGGCATTTGTGTAACTTTGTGTGAAGTACTGCTTACCTCACTGGACAAGTTTGTGATAATAATACCGAAAACGTTTTTGAAGTGTTTGAATTTCGCAATGTGAAATGCTAATTTGATGATAAAAGATGGCAATAGATTTGGTATCAAGCCGTTTAAGGTGCAACAAGCCACTGCGTGTTTGCGACATGTTCTAAAGTTCACCTTTGGGTTTTTACACGAGAAATCAATCCAGTCAGTCAACAGAAATGGAGTGGGTTGAGGGCGATTTATTATGATAACTGTCATCAAAATGCCGACGCATGCACCCGGCAGAAGTGTTACTTATTCCAAGGAGACCAGAAATAGACCATTGTTGTCAAGGAGTTGAGTAAATATACGGACTGGTTCTCCAGATCAGATAACTGGACACGGTACACTTTGGGCACAATATCATGAATGCTATATAGTATGGAGGCTTTACTAGTTGATGAAAATGAACAAGTAGATGTATGCTAGTTCCATTCTAAATGTCACAACCTGTGGATGACTTTTACTAAGGTATGTTTCATTTCTTATTTCTTTTGATATTAAGATACAAACGGAGTTGGTTGCAATGTAGAGCCGCATTGCAATGCGTGTACGTCGATACGATACTTGTGGGATATCGCTTTCGTAGCGTTGTTTGTGTTGTAAAAACAAACCATTTTTACCCTTCAAGTAACGGGTGTAGTATGATGCTTTAGCCGTTAGGCAGTGCTCTTGGTGTATCAAACAGAGAAGACCGATTTCTCTGTTTCACACAGCTGTGAATTATGAAAGCAGCTAACTTGAATGCCTATTAAACCTTGAAATGTAAAATATATTACAAAGAAAATCCAAAATAGCCTGTTTCACATTCATACTTCCTATAATGTTTTGTTGAAGAGTGTGACATGTTTGTTATTAGGCCTACGTAAATGTATATCGGACCATGTTTTAGGAAATTAGGAAACTAGGTAAAAGTCGCTCCTCTAGCCACAGTCCAACAAAGAATCGGTTGGTACCCGCCCATATTTTGTGTGTGAATACAGTTCTGGCATTCCTAGGCTAGAGGAAGACTTCATTAATACTGTTAGGTTTTTCCACTGTGAGGTCATTTAACGAAGATTTTTGACCATCTGTGGAAATTTAAAAAAAAAGAAGGAAATGTGAAAAATAAAGTTGGCTTCTTTTCACAGTTAATAAGATTGAAATAAAAAAAAAGTCACTTAAAGGACTATATATTCAAATTCATAAGATACAAGTCATGAATGAGACGTCGAAGCGTGTAGTGTGGATGCCACAAGACATACACGAATAGGCAAACCTTTAATTATGAATATGCTCCCAGACCAGTGTACGGCCCAAATGTCAGTCAGTCAGTGAAGCACATCGAGTATGTTACGCTGGCCTAGGCCCTCTGGGGCCAGCAAAAATAAGAACACTAAACCCCCGAGGGGGTGGGGTGAGAAAAGACGCCTCGTTCTCAAGAGGTATCACACTCCCTTCATATTCGAGGGGACGATGTCAGGGCCGCACCTTCGTATGGCAACATCATTTGCCCTCGTCTTACCCATCGGACCATCCAGACTCAATATTGATTCAGCTAGGGGCAGAGAATACAGGAGTATGTGTTAAGTGATTCTTTGTTTGCAGGCAAACATATGAGAAACGGCGGAGGACAAAAGGCATATAGCCGTGTGCCTAGGGCCGTGATTACAGACGATTAATACTTCGCAACACGCGCGTCATAACATGTAATGCCGACATTCCGACTCCAAACATCTTGATTGAGAAAAATCTTGAAACAGACATCAAAATTTTCTAAATTATCGGTGCAACCTTCCATTGTGGATGAGGTTTGGTTTCTGAACGAGAAAAAAAAATCACCTCACGACATTCTATATCGATCTCTGCATATGTGTCTCGTTGCCAACAACAAAAGAAGATGGCGTTTTATTATCTTGTCATTACTGGCTTTAATGACCATCGATTTGTGTCATACTACATTCTGTCGCCTTCCCACAGTGTCGTAAACGATTGTGTAACATCAATTAAGTACGGGGTCAGATGTTAATATGACTTGAAGCAAGCATCATCTGCTGATCGTTGGAAGCAGTTTCTCCGAATGTTTCTCATTTATTTCCATCATTGCTACGATTTCTCATCAGAGGACAAACAAATTGACAGCACCATCGGCGAGATCTCTGACTTTAACTTTAAGAAATGGTTATCTTTCTCGATGAATGTAGGTGAAAACAAGTTTGCAGACAGGAGACGAGCACAACACGTAACGACGTCAGCATCTTAACCGGATCTTGATAACGCAATCGTTCTTTAAACGGTGGATACTTGCCAGTTATGGTCCAAGCCGGAAATAACCCCAAAGTGATGAAAATTATTCTACAAGATCAGTACTTCGGTTTGGCCTAACCGTAATAACACCAGCCGTTTTGACAAACTGATTTTGACAAACAATTTGGAATTTATTGTGACTTTTATGGATTATGATATATACTTCGTGTTGTTTTCTACGGATATTCATGACTGCCGAGTTATATGATGTGTAAAGATGCCTCATTTAGACCGTCTGAAAGAGACAAGCTCCTTCAACTTTCTTCTACTTCTCATCCCCATTTTAAATCTGCTATACATAAACACGCTTGACCCGTAATCTACCCAAAACAATGATCGAGGAACTCGCACTTTGCATCACTGGGGCAAACCAAGCCGCCAAGCACCGAGAAAGCACAGCCGCATCGGTAGGTTCATTCCCTTCAAATTGAGAGCAAATTGAGGACGAAACAAACTTCGTATCGCATCACCGTCGCTCCAAAGGCATATATCAGTATTCAGCTCTTTTTTTCGCTAAGTCTCTTTACTCAGGCTTTAATATGGGAAAAGATAGTTGCTTGGTTTGATACATAAAAAGCGCAGCAATCATTTTCATGTGAAAAACTCAAACAAGACAGTCGTTTACCCATCAGACAGTTATTCAACCATCCTGCAGAGACAAGACACCATCACATGTTCAATTCTCACAAATTTCGTCTCATAAAGTCCATTTCTTTCGCAATCTCTCTCCAGGTACCGCTCCAAGTCTCCACCAAGACTCCCGTGTCTGCCCGGGCCGCCACCATGCCTGAGCCGCTGCAGCTGACGGCGATACGCCGGGAGCAGAGACGGATAGCGGCCCTGCTCGATGCGTCCAAGCAGCTCGGACTCGTCTTACCAGTAAGTATGAGAGGATGCACAGATCAACTTTCGATTCAAGCTGCTGTATGAACGTTGTTCTGAGACAATACATTTTCCTTGTACTTGATCACGAATCACGGACAACATTGAACATTGTTTCCAATTCGTAGTTACGGGCGACGATTGATACACACAAAATAAACCGCTCCTAATTCAAAATAAGAAACATATTGCAGTGGCTGATCTAGGATTTTTCTGTTTTGGGTTGATAAGGTGTTCAAGTCAATACGAACAGAGACAAAAGCCTTATGAACCAAGATTTGAAATTTGTAGTTCGACGTAATTTTAGAAAAATGTTTTTTTTTTCGAGTAAAGTAGTATGTTGTCTGAGATGACGACATCCAAAAAATGAAGTTTTTTTCGTATGTCGAATTAAGTTGAATCTTAGATATTGAGATGGATGTAAGCGGTAGGTCTATTTATGTGCAAGTTTTTATTTGAATTTTCTTCCTGTATTATTTTGCTCTCGTCACAGGCTCGTCAAGATGGTATTCCATTACAAGATCTTTACAAGAGCGACTACTATCTTCAAATGCAGAATGGGTTCAGGAAGATGTACGTAGCGGGGACACAGCAGCAGACGGCTCTTTCATTACCGGAGATGGAACATCTGATGAAAAGACACGGCAACGGCAAGTCCAAGAAACCGACGGCTGTTTTGTCGCTGAGCTCTACCATCAACGAAGGCTGGAAACACTTACGTGAGGTCAGAGAAAAGAGGGAAAGTTTTGCGAAGAGGAAACAGTTCAGGACTAAACATATCGGAGGAGATAAACGGCTGTTTGAAGCTCCGGACGAGCCGGACGGGTGGTCGCCCGGTCAGGCAGCACGAGAGCTGATGACCCGAAAGAAAATCCGTAATGACAGACAGACGAACGATCTGATTGGTCAGAAGCTGGTTGAAAAATCAGCGGGGCTCCAACCAGTGGGCTTGTCTGATAGGCTGCCGAATCATGGCGGCAGCGTGGACTTCCGCTTGCCGAGGCTGGCAAAATTCGACCCGAGTTCAGAAATATTGCCAGACATTGCTCAAACGGAAAACAACCGACTCGGTGACGACAGTTCCCGCCAAAACTCCATCACCGGGAAACCTTTGCTAAGATACAACCATGGCAACAGGGGACATGGGATGGACCTCTCCGTGCAAGGCCAAGCCGAATCGACGGAGAGTGACGAGATGACGTCATACGATTGGAGCGTTTACTCAGACTCCCCGGACGATGTATACAGACCATTTTATCCACAGACGCCGTCTGCGTCCCCGGCCAGCGTGGACTCGTTGGACGGTTTCGACTTGCACGGTTTGTACCGCGATTTCGACTCGGACAACCCCTACTCCGATGTGAATAAAGACCCGAATCTTACTGGCAAAGGCGATGGAGAAGGAGGGTCTGAGAAGGTGGATAGTCTTATGAATTCCTCAAGCAATCAAAGAATAAAACAAGTGGGTGGCGATTCCCAATCCAACAGCGGAGACGCAGTGAAAAACGGACTCCTATCGTCGCATTCCATACTGAACAGAAACAGAAACAGACAGGACTTCAGAAAGTCCAAGGAATCCTCGACAACCCTTGATACGTACCGCGACGCCTACGTTCGAGCCCTAGCGGTGGCACGCTCCCGTCGCCTCCCCGATGATTTCACTGGACTCGGTACGCGCACCACGCGACCGTTCTCCTTCTCCTACTTCGCTGACCACGGGTCCACCTGCAAGTGCCAGAGTTGCCTGGAGCGGGTGCAACGGCAAGATTTCCCCGGGAAGAAATCCGTCAAGAGAAGGAAGCAACCTCAGGGGCTAAAACTCATCTTGGGAGATGTAAGGATGGAGGATTATTACAAACGATGAAGTCGTTGGGCAAGAAGTCTGCTCTTTTGGAACCCATCTTTTAGAGCCAGATCTCTACATTGGGATTTTTTTTCGGCATGATACCTTGATTCGGTTCAGCTCCATTCCCAGTGAAAACCACCCACATCTCCCCCGAAAAAGGCACTTCATACTAGAACAGTTAATAAAAACAATCTGGAAGCAGTATTTAAAATCACAAATGATAGAAAGACATGTCAAACTGTTCAAAATTTAAACGAGGCTTATTATCTGAGAAAAACTCTGCCTTTGATTAATTCATCGACTCCTTTGCTGCATCGCAAGGGCGATCCAAGGGGGGGGGGGGTAGTTTGGCTTACCATGACCCACCAAGCCCCTCCCGACTGCCAAATGTTAATTATCATGGGAAAAAATCCCAAATTTCCTTGAAGAAACTTGATTCATTGCTTTAGGCCTTTGGACTTCAACAGCCAAGCCACCACCTTTGGAAAAGACTACATCGGCCACTGCATTATGGTCCACTACATAGGCCAGATTGACTGATACATTAGTCTTCTTTCTTCTGATATTAACATGTACACCACTAACTTTAAATTTCAGGTGGCCCATTGAAAATCACCCTTGGGCTGAACTGGCAACCATTTACGAATTAAGTGTATAATTACATGCCACAAGTATGATTGGGAGACAGAAATCTTTAACTGACTTCAGCCCAAGTTAGCTTGTAAAACGCGGTCAAACAAGGATTAAAGAGAATTCACGTTCTAGCATTTAATACAACCTTTTTACTGTTCTCTTGATTTCAATATGGTGACAGATTTACATATATTTACATGCATATATACATTTATAAGGGTAAACTATGAAATGCAACAATGTCATACAATTATTTTTCATACTTCCGCATTATGAGAGAAAGCCAGACAAAATAATGGACTCGAATTAATCATAACATTTCAAGTCATGGAGAAATAAAGGCTTCTCAATCAAATGAAAGGATCCTAATTGTTTCATAAAGGATTTGTCATGTTTACCAAATAATGACAAAATAATGTTCCCTCGGTAGTAAATTTATGGATTCCAAAGGGCCTTCAACATCATTCTTTCCTTAATGTGTTTGTTAGGATGTATCCCTGTCGATCAATATCACTCATTATCCAGACAATATTAGGGTTTTATTTGGCATTATTGTTTTACAAATCTAACAATACGTTGAGGAACGAATTCAAGGCTTTTTTGAATTTTTTTAATGAAATCTGAATTTAGCTAATATTTTTTTCCCATACGTGTGCAGGAAGCACTTTTTTATATATATAATTCCTTGTGCTTCTTATTCATGGCTTGCTTACTTGAAAGCCAATTTCTTTAAAAGTAGATCACAAACTTGCTGGAAGCAAACGCACCATGAATTCTGGCACAGGTGACTTACATCCCACTTCCGTGGCAAATTTACATTTGCGGTGTGTGCCATGTAAGCCGCCCTGTGCGCAGACTTCAGAGTGCGTTTGTTCGAGCTCGCATTTTTAATGAAATGACCCCATATGACTTTTTGCCGCACCCATGCCATATGCGGCATTCTTTTGAGGGCTGATATCGGCTTTTTGTGGCAATTGCCCATTTTATTTCTACACACCACGACTCCATGTCGGCCATTTTCTCTCAGTAATTTTCAGGAACCTAGAAATCCATTGGCTCAAAGTTGTTGTTTTTTTTACCTGGGATGTGAAAGTCCACCCTTCATCATCCATTTAATTAAAAGTCAAAATTTGATTTGTACAAGCTCAATCAAGTACAAAAAAGTATCATTCACTTATTTTTGTCTGAATATAGAAAAAAATACGCCTTCTTTGTCTACTATTTCAATAATATCCAATAAAATACCCCCCCCCCAAAAAAAAAAACAAGTCTGGTTAAAATTAACAGGGAGTAGAGTATAAAAATGGGAAAACCTTTGTCAAAATTTGTTTGAATAATTTGTGACTTGACTTGAGACTGGAGGAGTTGGGATGGACTTATACTGAATTGTGGTGTATTTCCTACAACATGGAATTTTCCTTTATAAGGAATTCATCTTATCATTGCAGCACTGGTATAAAAATTACAGTCTGGTGCCGCTTTCTTAAGAATCAGCACTATGTAGCAGGCTTGCGACAAAGGGAACCAGACAATGATGGCTTCCTTGTCTGAATATGTCGCTGGTATCCACTCATTTCTTGGAATACATCTGTGCTTTCATGCCTTGGATCTTGGCAGTCAGGGCCCGGTTACCGAGACATTGTCGCATGACTTGGTTCAGGTCGTCTTCACTCCTCTGCTGGAAGGCAAGATCCGCGGCTTCTTCCAAAGAACTTCAAGAATAAAATGTTCATACATTAAAGCAATTGTAACTATCTTAAGAATTTGTCTATTCTTGTTTTGCGTAGTTTTTCTTAATGTTCATGTACTTTTTTGTTGTAGTATTTTTTTGTATGATTTGTCGTGGTCAAAATGATGTAATAATAATAATAACAACATAACTTTGCCCACCTGGGTGGGGCTTAATGCATTGATCAATTCTTGTTTATTAAATATACCATAGGACTCCGTGCAATGCAAAATAAAATTCACTGAAATTGCTGGTGATTTTAGCTAAATTTGGAAAACAATTTTTTTTTCATGTGAGGAATCTTACCCCATTTTGATGTACATTTTGACTTTGTTCTCTGCTGCCACTCTTCCTATGTACTTGTTGGCCTCATATTTGTTGTGGTGATTCATACAGACCTCAACAAAGGGCTAAAAGATAAATATTTCAAAAGAAAAAATTACTACATGTACATGTATAACAATTTCCAATCAACAATTGCAGAAAATGTAGAATAATAAAAAAAATATTCAAGATGTACTCTGGATAAAAACACAACCATATCTACTCCCCATTTCGATTTTTAATTAACATTCCAATACAATTTATGAAAATAAACAACACACTGGCTTTGTAGCTACTTACCTCATATCCGATGGGAGATTTCTTGCTCTTTGCAAATCTCTCAAGTTCCAGCCAATCGCCTGAGTTGGCCAGGGCGTCAATTTTCAGCCACCAGAATCTAAGCAAGGCCAAACAAAAATGTCCAACAAAATGATTTTGCAGTTCAGGGACGGAAAGAAATTTTGGACACCCGAGTTCCAGAAAATGACACATACAAATCTGAAAGATTTGGCAATGAAATTTATGAACATTAACTTGTGGTCTCCTAATAGTGTGTGGGGAGTACAGTGTGGCTCATGATCGGAGGGTCAGGGGTGTGAATCCAGCTGCTTGTCATATGTTGTGTCCTTCGGCAAGCCACTTCACCCCCACTTGCCTCTCTCTCCACCCAGAAGTATAAATGGGTACCGGCATTAGCTGGGGAGTAACCAGCATCCCGTCCAGTAGAACAGAAATATTCTCAGTTGTTTCATGCTACCAAAACCGGAGATAAACGTCGGCCTGATGAGCCACATAGGCTCGTGATAGACTTTACTACTGCTCCACCTAATTGTGTGGCCAGTAACAAGCTGATCCTCTGTGGCAAAAGTTTCAAAAGTGAAACAAAAAAGATATTTGCTTCGAGACAGGCAATTATTAGCGAGCATACATTTATATAGGAACACCTGTCGCAAGCTAACACAACCAATGCCTGTCTATTCAGGACTGATTTTCCACGTAAGACACCTTTAAGGCAAAACTGCACAGTGGCACAATTGCACAGTATTTTTGTGATAATTTCACCCACCTTCTCAGGTTTACAAGTATACCTTAAGTGACCATTTTCCTGAATACAAGATGCATGTTTAAAATGCTGGGTTTTTTTATCCAAAAGAGTTCTCAATTCTAAAATCCATACCTTTTGTCCGGGACCTTGAATTCCTTCCGGAGTTGCTCGGCCAGCTTGCTCATGTTCTTAGAGATCAGTTCGTGCATGGTGTCATGCAGTGACTTGCCGATGTAGGCCACTTTGTATTGATCCTCCAAGCGTCGCTGGTAGCCGAGGAGTTTGTTCTGCTCTTCTGTTGCCTGAGCGAGAGGTGGTAGAATAAATCAATAGTTGGTCAGGCAGATTCTTCAAGGATCTAGGGCACTCATTGAACCCATGTTCTAATGGACTCATGCATGAACCCTAGATGGCGCCATATTACCACTCATATGAGCTGCAGATGGAGGGAGGTCAAAGAAACTAGTCCATAGGGGAAATATAGCACTTTTAAATTTCATATTGCCCTTTTTAACCAAATTATTACTTTAGGGGGTTATTTTTGGAAACTAGCAGGGTCTGTTAAAGAACATACCTTGGCAGCAAATTCATTTCTTGCTTTAGTGTAGTTGTCATGTGCTCCATTCAGCTTATCCGTCTTCTGCTGAAAATCCTGTTGAAAAAAAATCAAGTTATACTGGGTAAGTTTGAATAGTGGTGAATTTGAGGACTCCCTGTGTTATGCATTCTGGCCCGGTGACATTTAAGCGTTTACGGCTTCGTGTCCTTGAATCAAATATATTGAGAAATCTGAGATTGTCAACATGGGTCTGGAGAGCTCGGCTGGTAGTGCACAGGACAAATAATCCAGAATTCTGCATCAGTCAGCTTTCGTTTGTTCAATTGGAAATTAAGCTGTGAAAGTAAAGCAGGGCCGGACGCTTCCATCCTGGCAGACTTTTTCTCAAATGCAACAATCTATTTAAAAACAAAAACAAAAGTAACGACGGGTTTAAGTTCTGCAAATGTACATTTACGAATATATCACTGATTTGATGAGGAGTGAAAATTTGATATCAAATGTATCCAATGACGTAAACAAAACTGAAAGTCTCATGAAAAAGGAGTTCCTTGGGATTGATAGTTTTACCGTAATCTTGAAGCTGTCAGCAACTTGGCAGTTTGCCATCTCTTGGAAGTCATCGTTCTGATAGTACAGGTCCGTCAACAAGGTGGGCTTCTGCTCCCGGCAAAACTGTACAGCATAACAAAATAAAATAAAAATCAATATAAATATTTGGTGCTGCCATTAGAGAAAGTCCATGACAAGATTTGGGCTTGCTAAACACCAGTGCCAGTTTGTCAGTTTGCATTGCATAATTATATTGCTCAGAAAATTAGAATTCACCTCTTGTTCCTACATCGCCTACTATGACCCGTTCTCTAAAGTTTCCTGTGATAATTGTTCACTGAAAAACAAATTTAGAAAATAACGCGACAGTTGAGTCCCGCTCGGGTACTGAATTGTGAAGTTTTTAAAATGGGTCAAGGTAAAACCCAGCGTTGTGGTCAAGGTGTTTGTGATGGATCACAATAACATCACAAGTTCAATCACAAGTCATTTCACAAGTCCATACACAAGCAACTAAGGAGGAACAATAACAAGGGAATGCCTTTGAATCAGTTCACAGAAATAGCATGGGACTTGACCCAGGACTGGATGACCTGTGACTGAATTGTGATGACTTGTGATTGGCTTGTGATCACTGGTGATCACTTGTGATGGACTTGAGGCAATACTGGTAAAACCAAAAGTTGAAATCTGTGTACCTGCATGAAGAGGCTCTGTGCCATTGGCTGGTTACGCAGAGACATGAGAAAGTCTCCCATAGGCATGGTCTCTTGCATCTGGAGTAGTACCAAGTACACTACACACAAATGAGATACAATAGATCCAAACTGGTGTTAAGAGCCCAGATTATAACAACCTTGATGAGCGCTACTCACCGATTTCTCATAAATAACACTTCTCAAATACACACGGAGTAGCAAGCGCACATGGTTCAATAAATCTAAACTCTGAGTGGCTTTAAAGGTAATAACTCAAGATCTGTCAAGACATACTATCTCACTAATGAACAATTTCTTACCTAGGTCACCGTCTCCACGCACAATGGCTTCGTAAAAGGGTATAGATTCCAAAATCTCCCAATAACACAACTCTGACTGGCTGACTTTTGAGTATTACTGAGTAACACCTGAAAGTCAGTATCTCAACTCTCAATGGTTTTGGTAAGGGCTACTCACCATCTTCTCATACACACCGATCTGACTGATCAAAGCTGGTTCCTCATAAATTTCTCAACGGCTTTGATAAGAGTTACTCACTGATCTCTCATCGACACTTTAAGAGACTCACTCAATGAGTAACAATGTCTTACCAAATCAGTTTCTCAAATATCAATATCTTTGAGGAGGGCTACTCACTCACCTCTCAATTACACAAATCTGATTACTCACTCACTCACCGAGTAACAGTTTCTTGCCCAAGTCGGTGCATGTATCACCACTCGTGATAGCTTGGATAAGGATTACTCACCAATCTCAAATTCACTCTCATCTGAATGACTCACTGAGTAATAGTGTCTTACCTAGGTCGGTGTCGCCACTCTCAATTGCTTTAGTAAGTGCTACTTTTTGATCCCTCATTGTCATCAGCAGTGGGACTTGTTCGGCTGCTCGTGGTTCGTACTCTAATAACTGCAGTCAAAACAAAATAGAAACAGGTTCCCTGTTGCTTTTCAATCTCTGTGATAGATGTAGGCCCTTTGTGCAGGTTATTATTTCAACCCATTGGTCTCTGTGCCAACCCAAACACCCTGCTTGTTACTCCCCGTACCGCCCGAAACCGTGCAAGTACTGTATGGTTATGGATTCATCAGGAATAAAAAGTATGTAATACAATGTGGTACACGTGCTAATGGATTGCTACAGATATTATTAAGTAATGATTTTAATGAAAGTAACTGAAATTATTATTGAATTATTAGTTTTTAATACACATTGCCATTTTAGTATGCAATGATTGTTCCCTCACCTTGACAGCGAGTTGGGTGCGGCCGCATTCCGATGCCTTCTTAGCAATCTCTGAGTAGGCAATCCCCGGCGCCGTGTCCAACTTGCTCTTGATGTCTTGAGCTATCGTCTCATCGGCTATGTGCTTCTGTAGAACCTTTAAAAAAATTTGTACTAAAGATGTCAGGTAGAATGTTTGCAATCATCTTTGTGCTTCTACAAGACCATTTTTTTTTACTGGAAGTGTTAAAGTTGCTCTTGATGTCTTGAGGTTGGGCTTGGATGGGTGGGTGTGGAGTGGATTGGTTTTCAAATTGTGACCTATCGTGTTGGGAGCCTAATGTCCTAGTATGCTACTAGAAAGAATGGGGGACAGGGGAATGGATGGGATGCAGTAGGCCTGGGCTGGGAGAGTGATCTGGGGTGGGCTTGGGTTTGGATGGGGTTCCATATGGTGAGGATGGGGTGGAGTTAGATTGGGTAGGATTGGGTTCAGATGGGATGGGATAGGGCAGGATGGGATGGGGTGGGTGGCCAGGGTTGGTGGATTGGGTAAGTGACCAACCTTGTAGCAAGCCCAGTGCCCTAGTATCCTACTCTCCCCCTCTGCCTCTGGCAACTTGAGGAAGCGACTGATGTGCATGGCAAGACACCATTGGCGACGCAGGATCAATCTGTCATTCAAAATCAGAGATTAGAAATGGACTAGGAAATAATAATCTTATTACAAATTCATGTCTACATAACGACGAAAAGCCCCTGATCTCTTCACCAATAACAAATTTATCAATTACAAACAGTATTCTGCAGGTAAGTATTTTATATCAAAAAATTAAACAGATTTATAACAAGAAAAGGTTGCTACAATACCTGTCAATGAGCACTGGTAATGTAAGTCTCTTGAGTCTGTAAAGAAGCAGCTCAGGAAATTATATGCACATCTTTGATTTCAACTTCATCCTTTCAAGTGACCACAATTATCTTTTTCAGTGCAATACGCTGTATGCCATGAGTACCTCAAACGCGACACATTTTGTGACACTACTGTGAGCGAGTCAGTGAGTTGGTCAATCAGTCAAGGCTATGAACTCAGTGCAGTAGTACCCTGAACAGATATGAGAAGAGAGAATAGGGGAACCACTGGGACGGACATTTGAACGCATTGCTGACGACGCCTGATGCTCGCGTGAAGACAATATGGCTTTGTGTACATCCAGAATAAAATAAGTTGTGCACAGTTTGCAATCAGTGTGGGCACGTGGTGTGTCCAGGGCCCAATTTCACTGCTAACCACAGAATTCCGCGCTTAAAATCACCATTCTGTGCTAACCGTGCTAGCAGAAAAATTCTGTGCCAACTCTGTAAGCACATAATCCCTAGTTATGTATCTTTGCATGCGCATAAGCCAAAATTCCTCGCTAAACCGTGATATACGCTTACTGTAAGCACGGAATTCTCTGCTATAGTAAGCAGGGATTTTTTTGCTAACTGTAAGCAGAGCAAAGAAATTGAGCCCTGTTCACTACGGTCCTGTTCATCTACTGTTCGTGTATGGAATGAATAGACCTAACCATTTAAAGCCCCCCTCCCCCTATCTGATCACAACAACTGCCCTCTCCATGCCACACTGCATGTTCCAACCACATGGTTGTGATTGGACAAAATCATCATACAGCAGGGCTTGGGGATCAGTCTCTTGCTAAATTCCAAGCTTTGTTTTTTTAAGAAAAACGTTGCTGGACAAATTTTCTGGCTGCATGCAAATCTCTCTGGATCCACTTCATACTATGACATGTCAAGGATACTCTTCATAGCTTAGCGGCATTCCTACATGGTACTCCCGTACGGAGTTGATGACTCGAAGCATCTTGCACATGTTGACAAACTTCTCCGGGCTCATGTTGGTCAGAAAACACTTCCCAAAAGACGCGGCCTAGTTGATGTAAAACCATCCAACAACGATGATAAGTCAAACGATAAGTAAAATTTAAGTTTATTTAATTCATTATTATTTGGTGAGCGGACAGAATGGCCCATGAAAGTTTTAGGAATGACATTGCAAGGAAAACCCACGGAATCAGGTAGGGACTAACAACCCAATCCTCATGTAGGCCGAGGCAGGATTCGAACCCGGGTTACGGGATGTAGTCAAAGACAGTATTGCTAGCCCAACCTGATCCCTGTTTTGTCAATGATAAACATGTTTTCAAGCCATACTTCTTGCTGGAATCACGACAAGTGGAGCTTGATTGATTGGACACCCAAGCACTCTACGTATCACTGTACTAAAAAACTTAGCTATTTTTGTTTTGTAATGATTGCTGCCCATAGTATGCCAACCATTGGTTGACAAAAACAATAGTTGTGACACAGCAAAGGGCTATATGCAGGATTATTTATGAACAGAAAAATACTTCACCTATTTCAAACATATCCGACTGTTTTTAACAAAATGTATTGGGTAAACTTTGGACATTTTTTTTGGAAAATGAGCAGGATCCCATTATTAGTCAATTCAATCTCAGATGGATCTTAAGATTTGTCATAACAGTCAGCATCATGTAGTCTGGTAACCAGACTTAAACCACTAAGACCTATTGAATACTGACCTTGAGGAGTATCCTCTGAGTTGCGGGCTCATACTCGCATCCTGCAGCCTCGATGCACTGGTCCACAGCCAATGGCAAATCACCCTTTGCCATGACCATTCGGATGTAATCATCAGCTTTCTGACTTTTTTTCTGCCAAGATTTGTTAAAAAAAAAAAAAAAACACCAAAAACAAATATTTGTTACCATTCACCTCTTATGTATTTATCCTAAAACCTCTTTGAAAGCGGAAATGAAGTTAAAAAAAATTATTCCCAAGGACACCTCTTCACACTTCTTCGCAGGACAGACTAGTTCCATGGTGTACCGCAAACTTACAGTACAACTTTACTGTACCATTCCACCATGCAAAGCTTTGTATCATATTAACAAATCTGAAACAAAGTCAATACCTGGAATTCTTTTGAGGCTTCGAAAAGCAGCGCTCCGGGAGCTATGGACCCTACGTTGAATATCTCCTCCACAACCACTGAAAAATGAGAACAAATACTTTAATGGAGAGCTGTTGGTTTGTACTAGGAGTAACTTTAAGTCTTTGCCTTTCGGTTTGTTAAAATAAATATCAAATTCACGGGACAAGGTGCTGAGGGTTCTTCTGTAAATTCTGGTTTCGTATTCTTACAACCAATCTTACTATCCATGAACACGCACACACATTTTATGAAACCAATTGCATGAGAATTTTCACAAGAAAGAGGACTCTCATAGAAGTATGAGAGTTTTGTTTCTTGTGAAACCTTCGAATTCAGTTGTAAAATTTAACAAAAACTTCGGAAATGTCTTAATCGAAACACTGCCTTCAATAAGATACAAAATGCATGTTTATAAAGCGCACTTATCCACCAGAATGGGTGCTCAAGGCGCTACATCATTATTACCCCTGCTCATTGGGTCAATGAAACATTCCAAATACCATCTCAGCTTCCTGGGGAGCATACAGCTCAATGCTGCCATTTTGGCGCAAAGCAGCGAAAATCAACCACAATAACCATCTCTGCCCTCACAGGTACACACTTACTCCTGGGTGGGGAGAAGCAATGAGTGACAAAGTGCCTTGCCCAAGGGCACACACGCCATAACCCCAGGCTGCAGAGCCCACAACCTGCAGAATTACCTGCAGACCACAAATTCAATGCTCAAGACCACAAGGCCACAGCACTCCACGATATGAAGTCAGAGAACAGCCAGTGTGACATTGACCTTATGACCTCTGACTCAAGATCAAACAATTTAAATATTAACACACACAAAATAGATGCTGCACTCAATCTGCGCGTATGCATAATTGAGACACAGGCCAATCTGACTACAGGAAAAGTCAAATAGTTAATGTACAAAAAACCAACACAAATTCAGAATCTTTGAGGTTATTATCCAAGTAGAGACATGTCACCAGTCTAGATGTGGCTTACCTGGTACCCGTTGCAGTAACTCATGGGTGGCGCTGTCTACGATGCGTAAACCGTCAGCCTCAGGGATCAAGTACGCCTCACTTTTCATGTTGAAAGTGATTGCTTGGTTAAGGCATGTTCATTTTCAAAAGAGATAAAAGCGGACATTACTAGCAAACTAGACACAGCATGCAAGGATATTGGCCACACAAATCAGACATACAGACCAATCCAGGAATGCTATCAGTTTTATCAAGACGGCCCATTAAAAACATAAGCAATGTACTAGATTTTGTTCAGATAATGCATTATGGCACAGTTGTTTTGTACAATAGCTTCAACAATGGTTTCTCCATTGATGGGGGCCTAAAGCGTGTATTGTGATCCGGTGCCTGGATTCCTCTATAGCAAATCCAGGCATACACACAAACTATCCCCCAACCCTCTCAATCAGTGGAGGCCTCAGAAAAGTAGAGTCGAAAAAATTCAAGGTCACAAAATGATGTTAACTTAAAAACTTTTTTTACAGAACTGCTAAGGATATCTGATCCAATCTTTGTGTGGTCCAATGATGAGCAGTAGATTCTCCCAGTAGCCCACTACGGCCCCCGTCCCGCACCAAGCTAGCTGCTTGGGGCGCTTCTGACTCTTGGTGTCAAACTCACAGTAAACCTTCTGCAAACGGCCAAAACAACAACAAAAGTACAAACTACAAGCCCCTCAAAACTAGACTTCTAATCCTTGATATTCAACAACGGACTCCCCGCACTTTTGGACCACTTTTGAGAGTTCAAATGGTAGGACACACCGCGAGTACTGGTACGCATGATTAATTTATTTTTCAGAGAGTGCACAAATAAAGTTGTGCCAGACGCCTTCGGGAAATGCATTTAAATGTCCCACTCACAGCCAGTGATCTCCCCCGACTCTCTCTTTAAAAACGCTGAGGGGATAATTGTGCATGTAGTCCTGATGACATGTGTGATAACAAAGGATCTGAAAAGGGTTTGATTTAAAAAACAAGGCGTGTATGCAAATTTTTCTGACACGCAGTTACAGGTTGTGTAATGTTGTTTAAACCATTCTGTTACAATGTGCGACGGGAATCTTTACCTAAACTATTAAGGGTCGTGATCTTAGCGACAAAGGGAATAATTAATTGAGGCTGAGGGTCAGGAGTAACTCAATCCATTTTACCTGCAGGTCCGATGAACCAGTCCACAGAAGGCCGGTGTCGCCAAACAAGGCCAGGAGTCGGTTATCAAAGGACACCGCCATCTCAATAAAGGCATTGACAGGACTGCTGGTTGTAAGCGTCTGAACGTCAAGAAAGAGATGTTTTATTTATTACTTACATAAAAGGTTATAAGATGGAATTTTGCGTCGGGGTGATATAAATCAAATTAGGTTTTGCCCTTCATCAACGTTTTTAAACACTGTATACTCAGTGTGTTACCTCCCGAGTGAAAGTTGGAAAAAATCACTCGGGTGGGACTCGAACCCACAACCTCCTGCTTTCTAGTGCAGATGTCTTACCACTCGACCACCGAGCTAACGGGATCAGTTGGCCGGTTCGAATCTGATGTACATAGCAGCGGGTACCGCATGCGGTACCTGCTGCTATGTACATCATCAGGAGGTCGTGGGTTCGAGTCCCACCCGAGTGATTTTTTCCAACTTTCCAGAGTTGCTGACTCGAGTCATGTGACTTGGACTCGAGTCGGACTCGAGTCCCTATTTTTGTGACTTGTGACTTGACTTGTAAATACCAGCTTTGAATTGTGACTTGACTTGGACTTGCAAACAATGACTTGTGACTTGACTTGGGATTGCAAAAAATGACTTGTTACCAACCCAAGTCAGACGCTAAATCCAGTGAAATGAATAGTTCCCACTAGTTTCAAAAGTTTTCAATAAGACTGTCACAACAAACTACACAGTTCTCAATGACCAAGTCTCTTGCTTAATGTAATGGTTGAACAAACTTTGAAAAGAAAGCAGCCCTTTGTCAATTGCATGTAAAATACCGGATAGCATAACCCATTGGTAGGCGTTTAGTATACATGAAAATTGAACAATAAAATGTTAGTATACTACATGTAATCGAGTGAGTGAAGTCTTTTTTTCATGTCATCTCAACATTTATTTCTACAGTGTTAAGTAAATTTATTAAAGTATACAAAGGGCTAATATCCGACAGATATGTGATAAACTACAAGAATAGTATTAGCAACACATTGAAAAAGGGGAATTAAGGAGGCATGTTCAAAATAACTCGTAAGTTGACGCCAGGTTCTTTTAGCTTATTACAGCTGGACAAAATAATATGCAACTTGACGTGTTCTTGGACAAAGATACTTCTGACTGGACCTAATGACTTGTGACTTGACTTGTGACTGGACCTAATGACTTGTGACTTGACTTGTGACTGGACCTAATGACTTGTGACTTGACTTGGACTTGCAAACAATGACTTGTGACTTGACTTGGACTTGCAAAAAATGACTTGCTGCCACCTCTGCAACTTTCACTCGGGAGGTAACACACTGAGTATACAGTGTTTAAAAATGTAGGTGAAGGGCAAAAACCTAATTTGATACATAAAAGATGTTTTGTCGTTGCTGGTGTTTGGATTTTTTGAGTTTCAGTCCAAAAATAGATTTCGCTTTTAGATTTTTTCCCTCTTCAATACAGGGTGGTCCCAAAAAACAAAAACAAAATCGGGCGATCTTGGTTTAATTTTTCTTCTGAAAAGATTTTCCATGCATTGTTATATGTGGTTTGAGTCTCAGGGTAGTGGAAGTATGACATTCCGGTTTTTTTTTAAATTTTTTTGACCACCCTGTATGGGAGGTCTACAAATTGGGCAATGGGGCCATTTTTCATGAAGCTGTGAAGCAGAGAAATCTCCTAAGCACAGAAAATACATGCTCAGCGAAATCAGGTTACCAGCCAAGATGCAATGCAATTCACATAAGTTGTCACTGGTACTCAGCACATTTTAGCTTAGCACGTAAATTTGATAAGCAGCATATTCTGCTGAACTGTTCCAATGAAATCAGACCCAGGTCAAAGGTCACCCAGACACCCACCTGTTCGTGTACGTCTGTGTAGTCCACCAGGAATAATCGTTTCTCCTTGGCTAGTAAGATCTGAGTGTGTCTGTCTCTACAGATAATGCACCAGCTACTCGGCGGGGAGTCCAAGTCTACACGTTAAGACAAAGAGTGGAATAAGCCATGAGTGAACCCTGGTCTCCACAGAAGTAGAGGTCATCATATCGAGTATGTTTTTGTTTGCTTTGTTATTTCTCTTCATTTTCCAACAACCCCGATTCCCCTGTCTGTGATTTCCAAGAACATACCATTGCATTCGGGGGAGATCACATGAATTGTCTATACAGTGTGGTGCTCAGCGTCCCTTTGTACACAAACATGTGGTATGGTCACCCTAATTCATTGGAAATCCACTGCATAATTTACCGTAAATTTGACTTTAAAAAAAATTAAAAATCAGACGAAATTGACTTAAACATTTCCAAAATGCACGAAATGGGCAGAAAAATATATATACAGTGTACATGTATATAACTTCATTGTTAATAGTGGTTCATCAAAATTGCAAAAAAAGTTGAACACTTAAAGATTAAAGATGACCGAACCATTTAGGTTGTATGTTTGTTATTGTTTAATTTGGACGGTTGTTTGTTTTACTACCACATGATGCCAAACGTCCCAATGTAGCTGCACCTCCACTTAGTAAGTGCAAATGATTTGTGTTGGACAGTTGTGACTCATTTTCCTCAAAAATCAGTCACAGACTTGGAAAGATTCCCATATCTGGCCATCACTTGTCACCCTGTGCACAAACCCTATAGAGACTGGTCTGAACATTTCTAGGCATTTTCTCAGTAAATAATTCGATATTGTCCCTACTAAAATCAACCTATTAGGACATATTATCACTTTCTGATGGCTGATAGGTCACAGAAGGGAAAAATTAGTGATGGCTAGATATGGAAATCTTTCCACAGACTTTTCTACGTCAATGCAACATCAAAATGAGCTTTGCTTCAAACAATTTGAAATATAAAATGAGATACTTTTCATGACCAAATATCAAATAAACTTTCCAAGATAATTTACCCGGCACTTCAACCATCTTGCGACTGTGTCCCTCCTCAATGTTATTGATGACAAAGAATCGGTAACTGCCAGTCAGTACAGCCAATCCCGTGCCAACGTAACCCTGGAATATCTTGCACTCCAAGACTTTGGTATCTCGAGCCTCCTGATAAAGCGATCAAATCAGGGGGGGAAAAACAATCAATAAGGCCAAAAAAAAAAGTCTCCGGTTTCTGGTATGGAGCTTGCCCAAAAAGTGGTGCGGCGACGCGGCTTTTAAATTTTTTTTTACCTGTTTTTTTTTTTTTTTTTGCTTCAAATGTCGGCTGATGTCTGCAAATGGTGCCCGACTAAACGTAGTGCAAATATATGGGAGTCCAGAGAGGCCACATAAAGCTTATTCTCGATCATAACCCCATCTAAAAATACGTTAAAATTGTGCAGCAGCAGGATTCCAGTCAAACCAGTGAGTTTGGCGGTTTTGAGACATCATCTTGTATTGAAAAAAAACTTTTTCATTTTGCCGACGCGCATGGCTACGGCGACGCGTGCGCATACCAGAAACCGGAGACTTTTTTTTTTGGCCTAACATACAAAAAATGTGTTTTTCTATATCCAGAGTTATTCCAATCACCAGCATTTTGACTAAGATGCATCCTCAATCCTTCAAAATCCTCCAACTGCCATTTTGTACAAATTGGAGACAACCTCAATCCTCAGCAAGTATTATTTCTTTGATGTGTCACTATCTCAATCCTTCAAACTCCTCTAATAATCAATGTAATATATTGAGGCAGTGCAGATGATGTCCAGTATAATGTAGGTGTCAATTACAATATGGCTGAACATACATGCAGGGTACAGCCTAAGACCTTGACACAATGCATTTTTTTCAAAATCAACACAAAGTTGTTGGCATAATAGCTGAATCCGCCAAATCCTCTAAAACTACCCGGTTGCTTTTCAGGATTGAGGAGGGTTAGGGATGGAGAATTTATTGGTTTACCTGTCCCAAGCTGAAGTTTCTCTTGAAGTTACTGAAGATGTCATAGACCAGGACCGTACCATCTTCTTGGATGCAAAGGAGATCCTCCGAGCTGGACCAACCCATGTCTAGCAACTTACCACTATTCCACTGCAAAGAAAAGCGAATAACATCAAAAGATGTGATAAAGGAACTTATTTCATATGGGAATTGGACTGGGCTTGTTACAGGTGTCAAAACCCAGGACAGAATTCAGTAAAAGTATGATGAGATTTGAAGGTTTGCATGGTGGAAAGATACTACGACAAGATAAGTTTGCGGTAGCACCATGTGAATAAATCTCTTTTGTGAGTATGTGTGGTTCTGAAAAGAACCGGAGGGACTCTTTTCAGAACCACACATACTCACAAAAGAGATTTATTCACATGGTGCTACCGCAAGCTTATCTTGTCTTTAGTATTTAAAAAGTATGATCAATACGTCCAAATCAGTATTATCTAGGCAACCAAGTCAAGCTGAGGCTTTTATGATATCCTTGAGTAAAGGCACCTTTCATTTAAAAATTAAATGTAATTCATATAAAGCCAAACTGGAGAATTTCAAAATCTGGGTTTTTTTCACAGAAAACTCTTAAAGAAACGTACTAATCTACAGTGATCTGCCATTTCAAAAATGTTAGGAAATATATTTCACTATGTTCAGGCCTCACACTCAGAAAAATATCGGAGATAATTGATAGATTTTTCCAACTGTTTTTCTTGACAGTCCCTTGTTTTGAGGGGAAAAGTGCCAGATTCAAAACAATGTGTTCAAAAGAGTTTAACATCTGGATTAACATTTCAATTTTAATGTAGGTACTTTTTTTTTGGAAGAAGCAAAATTCTCTTTTAGAAAAGCTAGGCCTGAAGGTGGATTTTTTCTTTACACTGATGCCTATTCATAACATGGACAATTGGAAAGTCAAATTTTTCAGGGATCCTTCAGGTATTTCTTTCCTTTAACCCTTTCCAACATGTGAGAATTGTCTGAGAATTCTTCTTACTCTGAACTGAGAGATCTCACGGCCGGATGAGGTGTAGATGTACACGGTTGGACGAGTGCTGCCAGGGATATGCGTCATCTTACTCTCATCACGTACAAGAGCTGTGGAGGAAATGAACGGACAACCTCAGGCAAAATTCTTGAAAATCTGCTGTCTTCCTGAATCCTTCAAACATACACCAGAAATATGGCACATTCTTTGTAATTGTCATGGAGCACAATCGTCTAGCGAACATGCTAAAAAATAGGGAGAAATTTGGCAACATTTCATGATGTGAACAGCACTCCATCTTACCAATGGGTCCACCATAGGGGGCTGCAGCCACCTTGAACTTCTCCAGTTTGGCGAGTTCTTGCCAGCTTCGATCCATACTGTACAACTCCAACTTTCTGCCAATTAGAATTCAAGAAAAGTAATTGAACTGAAATTACTGAAGTAATGTTCCACAGTGCATACCTGTGATAATCAGAGAGAAAAATCACTATTTATTTCATTTACGATAAAAAACTATATAGGGCCTACTGTGGAGAAGTTTGGAGTGAGTGAACAGTTTTAAGGTTGATACATGTAGCTTACTGAAGCCAAAGTTGATGAGAAACATTTAATACATGTAGGTGCACAACAGTCACTAAATAATGACCAAAAAAAAAAAATCCTGGAATGATAATTTAACAATGTTTAGGCTTAAATATAACAACCCAAGATCTAAGGCTAGACCTATGTCTTTAAAAAAATACTGGCCACTGGATTAAAACAAGAATAGATTAAACAAAAGCAAAATCAGTCATTAGGCCAAATAAAAAGAAAAAATGTTTAGCATCCCTACCCGCTTCCTTTTTGGAGGCCGCCTCCTTCTTTTTTTTTCTAACACAAAAAAATGATAAATTTCAAACAGTGACATCATTCTGGCCTCTTTGTTGCATAGTTCTAGCTCATATAAAGCTGGTATATCATTCCTGAGTCCAAGTGGCTGCCATCGAAAAATAGAACGGTCGCCGGTCGGCCATTTTGGAAGGGAAAAAAAAGGGCCTCCTCCTTCCATTTTTTCCAAAAAGCAGTACGCTAAACATGTTTTTTTTTACTTGGCCTTATCATATGTCTACAGTAGTAAAGTGGGCAAAATGTATCATTAATGATGTAACAACCCAAAACATACTCCTAGAACTATGACTGAGGCTCCACAAAACACTAATTAAGTACAACATTTTGGGTTAAAATGGACATTTTGGGTTAAAATGACACCGAGGACAATAAATGGCAGAAAGAATGTATTGTATACACCACTTCTTTAAATGTGTATAAAGAAGTATCATTAGGCCTATTAAAAAAATTTAAAATGCACTTGACTCTCCATAGACATGATGATGATAGACTTTGATTTGTCAATGTTTGTACACAACCATCGACGGAAAAAATTCCGTACTCGGACGTCACTTTTTTCAATTAATTTTCTAGCGCCAAAAGTTACATCTTTTATGGTTATTCCTCCACTTTCCCTCCTCTACTCTCACCCTCTCCTTTCTTTAATTTCTATTTATTAATCAGTCAGTTACTTCATCGGGATTCGAACCTCTGACACTTGCTTGATACACGAGACTCTTAACCGCTAGGCCGCGCACGATCGCTGTTGCAATAATCAATCTTTGGACGTATTTGAAGTATCAATTGAAATAAACTAAATATTCATGAGAAAATAAATATTCATAATGACGTATTGCACTATCATTGGCAGGCTCATGTGACGTCATGGTTGTTGATGTCACGTGTATAACGTACCGCTGTCTTTCAGCCACTACAATAAGTTTTGACCGGCTGCTTCAAGTTAGTTCTGCACGACGAATGCATCCAAAATGTGCTCTAAAAACACATTTTGAGTAATTTTTTTTCACCTTAACACAGCTTCCTGGATTTCTCTTGGTTCAAAGGACAAGGTGAGGTGACAATTAATATGTTTGGCAGCAGATAAATTGACATCCGAGTATGGAACTTTTCCCCCATCGACAACCCAAAGACTGAAAGAAGTGGTGTCTGGATACTAGTTACTACATTCCTTTCAAATTTGCCAGAAAATACTGTCCAAATAAACCAATTCAACATGTCACTAGCGCGTGTGCAAACGCTAGTCTCAGACACAGGCTCATGAACAATGGTCAACATGGTCAATGCAACTTTTTCAATTTTTTTCGGTAAACAATTAACAAAACACGTCCGGAAACTGGACCTTAATAAAAGCTTAACAAAAAGAACAATGCTCGGTACGGTTCCTCGAGGTTCCAGTTCACCCAATGTAACCAACATGTTTTCAGTACACTCTTAGACAACACTTATGTAGGTGATACACAAATTACCAGGCTGGTGTTACCTGAAAAACACTTCCCCCAAAGGATTCCAGCCGCCGGTAATGTGCGCCATTTTGGATTTTGACCAGCCCCTTTTTGCCGGCTGTCCACGAATGACCTATTGAGGGCGCTCTAATTAAGCGCGAACGTGGAAAACGTCAAAGCCGAGCGCGAGCCGAAACTTTCCGAAAGTGGCTAAATTTCGGCTGGCGGGTCCAAAAATCGGATTTTAGTCCCCGAAGTGTCGTACAACCTGTCCCCGGCATGGACGTGGATCGCTTCTGAATAGTAGGGGGATATGCCCTCCTCTGGTATATTTAATTTCCTCGATAAAGGAATAACCCGAGCGTGGCGGAGCGGGGAGCCCGAAGCAACGGCAGCGGTCTGGGCCCGCTTAATGAACACGGTCCGGTCAGTAACTACTCCGATATATTATAAGGACTCGTAGGGCTCTTGGATTTTCCCGGTATACCAGACCACCACAGCTCATTCCCTGTCTATCTCAGCACTACGAATGGGAGGAAACGAGGCGGCACACTTAAAGCCATGGTTGCCGAGAAAGGGGCGCGGACCAATACGAATGTGCAAAACCTAATGGGCCGCCATCATATCGATGTACAGTCATCTGAACATGGAGCTTTAGGGCCTCATGTTTAGAAAGGGTGAAGCCTCTTATTATTTATACTTGTAAAAGTCTCTTTTTAAACTTATTTTTTTTTGTAATGGCTACTAAGTGAAAAAACACACCCATAACCCACAGACGATGCTAAGGCACATAGGCTGATACATGAGAGAGATTATATTGATGTGAATAATTTGAAGTGTAATGCTTAGAAAGTAACATGAAAATTGTGTGTTGAAATGAACCAATTTAATTATTTGAAAATATTAATTTTTTTTAAAATTATGTTTTTCTAAATGTACTAAAACAGCTTGAAAGGAGTTTGTACAACTGTGTCAACTTTGTATCATCTCAATCATAAACAGGAATTTCGCAATTTTTCAGGCAGTAAGAAACACTACTTGTTTTAACCAAGGACATATAAATACGCATAATAAGAACAAATTTATTTTACAGATAGAGTGTAGAATAAAAAGGGCTCACGGAAAGATGAAATGTGATAAAATAATTATTTTGCTAGACACTAAATTCCCTATATTCGCTAGTAAATATTTTGTTGTTTATGACTCTGCCAGTTTCCATCGCATTGAATTACTGTCACGCACATCTATAGGCCTATCTGTCTGAAAGTGACCTGTTGAACAAACTAGCACGCACGTTCCGCTCAATCGGACGTGGACAATTATTTTTTTTCAAAGTAAATGCAGCGGGAACCAGCCTATGTCGTACGGAATTTGCCTTGGGAAGCAGGCTCTCCCTCTATCTTAAAGCTGTTTTTCTGAGTCTTCTAGCTTTCATATTCACGCGAGAATCAAACGAGAAAATCTTCTTTCAAACAATATTCTATATACATGTAGGGTTCAGCAAGCCTACATCTAAAACTATGTATCGAGGGGAAAATCAAGTTGCATTTTCCCCAGGTACTGGTTGCAAGTTATTAAAAAAAAGTTCAATTTAGGGTAAGTCGTTTGTCATCCGTTAAAGATTTCTGCATCGAACATGGAACACTGATCTTATGAGCATGCACAATTTATTTGGCAAACTTCTTTTCGCAAGAATTTCGTTTTTGACAATCGTGAGCGATTATAAATACCATTTGAACGTTGGGATGGTATTAAATCGCTCATAATCAAAACCTAAACTCTCGGGAGAAGCAGTTTGCCGAATAAATTTGCGTGCTCATAATAAGATCAGTGCATGTACAGCAGTGTTTGAATGTTTTTTAACTGAGCAGAGTTTGAACTTTCTGTTGTTTTTTTAATCGTCAAGAGAAGGTCAGACGTGCGTTAAATACATCATCTGTGTCCGCCAGAAAGAGTTGAATTCCAAATATTTCGAAAACAAACACTTCACAGAATGAACAATAATTAAGTATACAATTACTCCATAAAGTAAACATCTGGCAGGTAAGTTTATCCGTGTCTACAAACACATATAGTTTCAATTAGCAAGTCAGCGTTTTGTCCCCAAGGACAAGTGAAATTTGCACCCATAAATATATGGACAGTGTTTACAAAGTCCATGCATCTTTCTTAAAAGTAAAGTTTGTTCACTGAATTATTTTCTTCCGTAATGAGCTACAAAAGTTGGCCCATATATGTCCTTACGTCTTTGCAGTTTTTCGTATTGTTGACGGAATCAAAATAAAACTGAACCTGTCACGTGTCAAAGATTAATTTTTAAAAACGTGACTTGCGCAGTGGCTTAGCCAAGTCGACCACACGCCCAGATGATAAATCAAAAGTCCTTTCACAGATCGAGTTTTGTGTCTTGGTGTTTCCGAAGGCTGCCTCCCTATAGCCCAAGTGAACGGCACAATGAGCTAGATTGCAAGATGGAGTTGGTGACAGTCAGGGCACCAGTCTTGTCTGCAGTATTCTTATTTGGCATTCCAGAGCTACTATAAGAAATATTATATTGGAGGGGGGGGGGGGGTGAGCAACAGATGCCCGTGACCGCGGCCGGTGCCCCCCCCCCCCCCCACATTTAAAATCTTGAAGTGAACATTTTCCACTTGCCTTCAGTGCCCACCGTTTGTGCACACCCCACGGTCCTCCCCCTCCCCCCCCCCACCCCAGTTTAACCCTAGTTACATCAATGCGGGCTGACGGCAGTGTGCTACCTGGGAAGCATATATAATCCACATGTCATGGAGGGGAGGGGGCTTTTTCCTCTCCATTTTGTGTATAGTGTAGATTTTTACAGCATGGTATCCCCTAGCTGCATCAAATATCACGTTATACGCCGTCAAGTTTTGTTCACCAATTTAAGGACTGTAGATGTGCACGCAGCCGGGAGCTATAGCGCAGTATTTTCAATTGAAAACCAGAAGTAAAACATGCAAGCAAAGTGGGTTTGTGGTACTTAATATAATAATTCACGGTAAAAATGGCACCAGAGCACATATCAGTAGAGAAGACTTGAAGTCTTATATTAAGCCCATCCTTTTTTTCTCAAATAATTTAGTATGAACAAAAATTCATTTCGATGGCAGGGTAAGAGGAAATTGCACCACAAATCTGTTTCATTTTAAGGTAGTGTTATGCCTTGGGTAAAAATTAGAGCCAAAAAGTCTATATTAGACCTGAAAATCAGCCATGAGGTCCGAGTCATGGTTCCAATTATTGCTGTTGTGATACTGCTGCTTTAAATTCATTGGGGTAGTAATCGATAGAGGGAGGTATATTGACATACCATACCAATAGAGGGCACTATTGATAAAATCAGGACAGGGCGTGATTATCCTTTATGAATTGAAGTAACAACAGAAACAATAAATAATATGAGGAGTCAAAGGTATCTCATGTAACTACATGTATTTTAATGAGCCGCTTTGAATTATTCACCGTTCACAACGTGTGCAAACATACGGACATTCAATACAGTAGGTAGAAAGAAAGAGAAAGTCTATTCCTAATAGTTTTCATTTTAATCCAATAGGCGTAACTGAGGAATGATAAGTTTAGTCGTTTGGAATTTGTTGAGAGGTGTCAGTCATGAGTACGTTTTTGAGATCAAATTACCCCGAGTAACATCTCCATTCTACTTTGTTTTTGCAAATGTGACGTCATACCAATATAACCACGCCCGGTCTACTTTGACTTGCATCTTTATTGAAGAGATAAACGGCAAACACTAAGGAATCGTCATAATATTTAACCAACAATGATTTTTTTGTGGAGTTGGATATCACGCATGTAAAGGTAATGCCATGACGTATGATCACATAAATAGCTGAGTAAACAGAACAGGTTGCAAAAGGAAGCACGGTTGCCACCGTATACGTGTGCATGCACCATAGGTTATAAGTTTCTAAACACGAAAAAGATTATTCGCTAACTACTAACGAAGGATTTGGATAGCATAACATAATTGTCAATTATTAAAGCATACATTCTGAATCCCGATCAATTTTTAATTTGAAGGGTCGCTCTGGAAATACATGTATCCTTAGTATTCGTCGTTGTACATCTCAAAGATGATGCGGTACCAACCATGAACTCGCTTCCAAATCAGAGCGGTCCTGTGGACACGGACAAAAACATTAAAAAGATTTTATCAGTGTCTTTTAGATATGCTGATCTTTCTCCCTTGATCACGTGAACAACCGCGTGAATCTAATCCCCTACAGTTGTATACAGCATTATACATCAGCCTCAGTCTGCCAAACTCTGGATGTATGTACGCTTAGCCAACAGATGTATCTTCCCCACGACCCCAACCCACCCCCTTCCCCTATCCTGACACGGGCATCGTACTCAGTCACACACTTTAAAAACTTATGCGAGCACCCGGCCGTACGTGCACCAGTGTTGTAATCGAGACCGGATAGTCCGAGATCGAGACCAAAACCGAGACCTGAAGATTCGAGACCGAGACCGAGACCCAGACCAGCCCCTTCAAGGCGGACCGAGACCGAGACCAATATGGTCCGAGACCGAGACCGAGACCGAGACCGCTGATAATAAATAACAATTATCGAAATAAAAAAACAAGACACGTTATTATAGTTGAAATATGTAACCTTTCTATTCACAAAGATTATAGACCAAAATTTTGACCAGTGGCAGTGTTGACAAATTGATACATGACACCTTACTTGAGCAAAAAGTAGTTACACTTAAGAAATATGGGCTTTGACATGTTGTCTGCACCCAATCGTGACAAAAGTAAAAAGTTAAAGGCAGATGTTTCATCTGTTATAGGAACTCGGATCCTAAACTCCACAGTCACCCCTTGGTTTCAGCTATGACTTCTAACGGATATTTAAAGATGCAATTTTAATTTTATATTGTGCCTTTGTTTTCCTAAAATAAATAAAGGACTTAACTTCTAACAAGACTTGTGTACTTCATTTTAAAAATGGGAGCTAGAAATTGTTAAATTAATTTTAAAATTTCTGTCATAGAATGTGGACTTGTACATGTAGACCCACAAGTTGCGAGGTGGTAGCCAGAATGTGCCAGATATGGATTTTTAATTTTTTTCTGAACGGGATATTAATTTTTGAGGAATAATGGGGTACTTCAAAATGAGCAGCCAGAAAATGGGGTCTCATCATACACTCTCATGGCAACAGTGAGTGGTAACTGGTAAGAGTGTGTGAGTTCAATGCTGGAAAATCAGGTAGGAAAATTTACTTTTTCTTCCAAATACTGTCCCAAATTAAAGAGAACATTGTGTGGGGTCGAAAATATAACTAATTTGAAGCACCTCATTTATTATCAGAATACAAAATGCAAGTGATTACGCCCACAGGAGTGGGCTAAACTACACAATCCCCGAAAATGGCAGGCCCTTATTGCATAAATTGTTACAAGTTTATACTTTGCTTTATGTGCCCGACACAACAGATAAATGCCGAACTTGTTCCAAATCGTTCAGTGACTGGTACTGCGGCAGCTTTACTTTTGGGATTTTCCAACGTGCAGTCGAGTCCAAACCGACCACGATATATAACAAGCTTGATCTACGGGCTAGCAAATGTTTTAACTATCAACGGTACTGAACAAAGTGAACACAAAGTAATCGATCGAGCTGTAAAAGCTACATATTGACAATCTCGACCCGAGACCAGCCAAAATATCGAGACCACAGGGGACCGAGACCGAGACCAAGACCGAGACCACAGCTTCCGAAACCGAGACCGAGACCGAGACCAGCAAAAAGTGGTCTCGAGACCGGTCTCGAGACCGAGACCGGTCTCGAGACCTACAACACTGACGTGCACCACTGATTTCACAACTATGCCGGAGCGGAGTCGAATTTCAAAGTGATACTACCCTTCGATGTAGCTATTTTATCCGTATTTTCTTTCCAAACACAAACAAGTCAATAATCACCCAATAATTAACGACTGGATTTGATCGTTTTAAAAATTAATTGGGTTATAAATTTAAATCAAGCTAGGTTTTGGTATTACTTCACTTTGACTTACTTTCCCTTCTTGTGGCTTCCATCCGGTAGTACAGTGTCGTGAGCATGCACTTCAAGCACGAGATCCCCGCTTGCTTCCAATGGTTCAATGTGCTGAGCATCATGTTTGGTCACAGTAACATGCTGAACCCATCCAAGGTTTGTCGACAATTCTGGAAAACATTGATACAAAACAGGTGATTTCAACTCCTCTTTTAATTGCTACTTCAGATCCAATATTCCACAGGCTTTCATATACCGACATCACTCATATACCAAGGAAAGGTTTTGAGAGCTTTATGGACGACTATTGTGCTCGGACCAATTTTCATGATTCGGAAAGTTTCATCTTTTTGGATAATATTTATAGACTAATTTCTAGCTGTAATTAAATGTGCACAGAGAAGTTTTGGGAACCGGTACATAAATGTTCACGACGATTACGTTCGTTTGTTTCATTATGTCTGACTCTTGGTCAAAATCAGCTGTCGGGCATTGAACAACCGACGTACAAGGGCGGATCCAGAACACAATTTGGGGGGGGGGGGGGCCAAACATTTTTTGGGTTCCCCCCAAAAAGTGGGTCAAAAAAATTACGGCGTGGGGTTCGGGGCCCGCTTAAGGGCCCCGAATTTTTTTTTGGATTCTAGATGCTCTGTGGTGCGATCTGAGGCAATTTCTGACCACTTTAACCAATGTTTTTTTTTGAGGAAAACATGGTGGTGTACTCATTGCCTGCCTTTATTGCGATGTCAAAAAGTGGGTCAAAAAAATTACGGCGTGTGGTTTGGGGCCCGCTTAAGGGCCCCGAAAATTTTTTGGATTCTAGATGCTCTGTGGTGCGATCTGAGGCAATTTCTGACCACTTTAACCAATGTTTTTTTTTTGAGGAAAAGATGGTGGTGTACTCATTGCCTGCCGTTATTGCGATGTCACATAAAAAAAAAAAAAATGATTTCGTTTTTTTTGGGGGGGGGGGGGCATGGCCCCCTTTGGCCCCCCCCCCCGGATCCGCCCTTGCCGACGTAGGGCTTAATGGTCTTGAACAGACGAAAATGTGAAAATGTGAAAACCGGAAACTTCATTTCCATAAGGATGGATGAGAATTATATTTTATATTAAATAAATCACATTCGAATCTGTCACTATAAGTCTAAATTTACAACATGTCAGACTGTGTCCTTTTATGAAAATTTCTTTTCATCTTTATCTAGAAACTGATGGTCTTACGGTCAATTCCTTGGTATGATGGGTAGCCATCCGGTACTACGATCACATCAGGGGCGTAGAAACTCAAGATACACTCCATGTCCTTGTGCGTTACACATTCCCGAAGTATGTTTCCAGCGTAGATGATTTCATCAACCACTGTCAAGAAACAATTATTAAAACCAAATGAAAGTAATAGCTGTTCGCAGATGTAGACTTTCCTTATCAAAATTGCAACTACATGTAGTGATTTCAATGTACAGTCATTAAACATTATACTGGTGCATGCTATAAGGTCTAACAAATGGACATGACTAGTCAGCTGAACTAACCAAAATCTGTCGAAGATTGTGGCACCGCCTCGCACAATATTCCGTATAGTTTTATTTTAAGAGATAAGCGTAAGCCATTGTTTAACAGAAAACCATGACGCTGGCAAATTCTCCTGAGGTGACTTGCTTGCGCTATGGCCTCTGTGACGGTACAGAAGATGAAGCTATGTACGATTTAAAGGCAATTTACACGAGTAAATTTTGGGATTGTTTTTTTTGGTTGCCGAAACAAAGAACAGTAATACAGTAAATCTGAAGCGGATTACTAATTATAAAGTTCTACTTTTGAGACAACCGTGAAAAGCACCCTTTTGTGGTATGATCCCAGTTGTCACTCGGGGAAATAACTATGTGTAACCGATTGAAAGCTAAACCAATTTTGGTCAATTTGGTGCAGTATTTGAAAACAAAACAAAAATATTCCAGCGACATATTGGGGCCAACCATCGTTTGGGAAACGATGGTAATTCATATTTTATTGAAAATGACAGCAAAACAGGCGCCACGATTTCATACGATGCTTGATATAAACAGTCAAGTAGCACATTTCATAATTATTGTGGCAGTTCCCTTTGTTTTAATGTTTGTAAATGATAGACGTTACCTTTAATGTCACCTGAATGTGACAAACACATAGTAAGTAATGGATCTATATGAGGAGGATAATATCCAAGGAAATGCCGGGCCGTAGCTAAAAAGCTATTAACTGTTAACACGCCATTATAGACACTTTACCTTTACGTTACCATAGGCCTATACTGAATTATTAAAGCCTGTCTAATGGCGGATCCAAGGGTTGATTGGGATGATTAACCAGCCCCCTTCCAATTAACCGATTTTTATTCTTTACATCATGATGAAAATACTCACAAATTTCCTTCAGCTACCAATGTTATCGCTAAGTTTCACAAATCTCAATTCTTTGCTAGCGTTCAGGTCGGGTCTTTTATGCGTTGACTGCAACATCACATGCACCCTATGCATATCCCCAATTAACAAATCTTGGACTTCAACAACTCAGCCAACCCCCTTTTGGAAAATTCCGGATCCGCCATTGTGTCAGGATTCGCAGTCTTTTGGAAAGATAACACATGCAATAATTGTCGTATTACCATGGTGATCTGCTACGCCACGGTTCTCCTCTTTGCCATCTTCAAGAAAGCAAACAAAACAAAGTAATCATTTTGGTTATTTTGGTCTTAGTATCATCAACCAATATGTGCGAAACTATGTGCTACTAGCGCCTGTGTGTTAGTCCAATATACAGCTTTCATTAATATTATTTTCTGGTGATATTTCCCAATTTTTCCTATTTCCGCATTTGCCCTAAATATAAATGAAACTTTGTGTTTTTTTACACAACATTTCTGTGTAGACCCACTGGGCAGCGATCAATATCGGTTAAACTTTTTGTCATAGAATTTGACTAGGCAGAAACGTCAAAGTAATATCCAGTGGGGAAAACATTACTCCTTTAACCCTAAAAGGAAACTCGGTACTTGCATCAAGCAACTTATCATGAACATACCCAAGAAATTTCGTGACTATAGGTCAAAGGGATTTGAAATCATGGCTAGTTAATTACTCATATGTACGAATGGTAATTCTGCTGTGTGTACACGACGTATATGGGAAAATTCAGTTTTTACCGGAACATTGTTATGTTTTTGGTATAAAAAGATGCGCAAGGATCGAGGCTAAAAAGTCATTACAGCTCGGGTCGCGAACACATTTTTTTCAAAGCTATCGCGGAAAAAGTTGAGGGCGGATTCCGCCCCGGCTCTTTTAGGGTTAAGGCTGTTACAAACCTTCTAGTACTTTCCCGCCTTCTACCGCAGCCGGATACTGGCCTTTGATGGGCGCGTTCAGCAACCCAACCACCAGAAACACACACAGCCAGGTAAAAGCAGACATGTCGTATCGTTCAGAGGGTGGTTTTCTTCAAGTCAGCACTGTATGGTAGATAACTAGCTGATTATCGTTCGATGTGAGTGGAACCAGCCTCGAGGTAGACCTTAAATAACATCTACTCGTGCTGATTGATTATGCAGATGTCGTGACATCGTGACCACGTGATGCAATCAAACCAATAACAGCACGCTCCGTTCATTTGTCATGGGTTCGTTGGACATTTCGGGTTAAAACCGGTATTTGGCAAGGCCTAGTCCTGCAATGGATTTGTGTGTGCGTTTAATTTGTGGTGTTGCAGAAACAATTCACTGAGCAATGAACAGTTGTTTAGAAATAAATGAAAGTGAACAAACGTTTTTTCGGTGTGCATTTGATATTCTCAGGCCTCATAAGGTGGTGGTATGGGGACTTCAATTTAGGTTTCTTGACAATTTCATCTTGGCTATTTGATGGCAAAATTTCACAGCGAACGGACACATCGTCCGGATCAGCTAGCAAAGACACCTGTATCGTCATATCAATCAGTCACCATTCAATATTTTTCCACATGAATGGCTAAAAATGGGCCTAATGAAAACAAAACCAACAGACGAAATTAAGGCACATGGACTGAAACATGAGGGGGAATATTAATTGATTAATTAAAGTCTAATGCTTAGAAACTAACAGGTGAAATTGTGTGTTGAAATTAACCAAATTAATGATTCGAAAATATGAATTTGTTTTAAACAACAAAATATTGTTTTCAAAATCTATTGAAATAATTTGAATGGGTTTGTATGAGTAAACTTTGCATTAGTTTTTTAATGAAAAAAACCCCCATATCGCAACTTTTATATAGTAAGAGACAATAATTATTTTAACCAAGAGCGTATAAAAAAGCATATAATAAGATCAGCTTTATTTACAGATAGAATAGGATAACACGTGGTCACGGAATGAAGAAATGGGATAAAAATGATTATTTTTCTAGATACTAAATTCCCAATATCTAATTTTCCTTGTAATTATTTGGTGAAAATAAAACTAGTTTTCATTTGTTGCTTCCATCGCGTTGAATTACTGTCACGCACATCTATAGGCCTATCTGTCTGAAAGTGACCTGTTGAACAAACTAGCACGCACGTTCCGCTCAATCGGACGTGGACAATTATTTGTTCAAAGTAGATACAGCGGGAACCAGCCTATGTCGAACGGAATTTGCCTTGGCAAGCAGGCTCTCCCTCTATCTTAAAGCTGTCTTTCAGAGTTTTCTAGCTTTCATGCATATTCACGCGAGAATTAAACGAGAAAATCTTCTTTCAAACACCATTCTGTATACATGTAGGGTTCAGCAAGCCCTGGAAATACTACATCTCTAAAACTATGTATCGGGGGGTGGGGGGGGGGGGATCAAGTTGCATTTTCTCCAGGTACTGGTTGCAAGTTATACAAAAAAGTTCAATTTAGGACGAGTCGTTTGTCATCCGTTGAAGATTTCTGCATCGAACATGGAACACTGAATTTACGAGCATGCACAATTTATTTGGCAAACTTCTTTCCGCAAGAGTTTTGTTATTGACAATCGTGAGCGATTATAAATACCGTTTGAACGTTGGGATGGTGTTAAATCGCTCTTAATCAAAAACGAAACTCTTGCGAGAAGACGTTTGCCATTAAATTTGCGTGCTCATAATAAGATCAGTGCAAATACAGCATTGTTTGAATTTTTTAACTGAGCAGAGTTTTGAACTTTCAGTTGATTTTTTGTAAATCGTCAAGAGAAGGTCAGACGTGCGGTAAATACATCATCTGTGTCCGCCAGAAAGAGTTGAATTCCAAATATTTCGAAAACAAACACTTCACAGACTAAACAATAATTAAGTATACAATTACTCCATTAAGTACACATCTGGCAGGTAAGTATAATCCGTATCTACAAACATATTTAGTTTAAATAAGCAAGTCAGCGTTTTGTCCCCAAGGACAAGTGAAATTTGCATCCCTAAATTACACTATATGGACAGTGTTTACATAGTCCATGCATCTTTCTTTAAAGTTAATGAATGAATAAAAAAGTTGGCCCATTCCTGTCCTTTCGTCTTTGCAGTTTTCGTATTTGTTGACGGAATCAAAATCAAACTGAACCTGTCACGTGTCAACTATTAATTTTTAAAAACTTGCGCAGTGGCTTAGCCAAGTCGATCACACGCCCAGATGATAAATCAACAGTCATTTCACATATCGAGTTTTGTGTCTTGATGTTCCCGAAGGCTGCCTTCCTATAGCCCAAGTGAACAGCACAATGAGCTAGATTGCCCGATGGAGTTGGTGACAGTCAGGGCACCAGACTTGTCTGCAGTATTCTTATTAATTGGCATTCCAGAGCTACTATAAGAAATATTAAATTGGAGGGGGGGGGGGGGGGTGAGCAACAGATGCCCGTGCCCGCGGCCGGTGCCCCCCATACATTTAAAATCTTGAAGTGAACATTTACCACTTGCCATTTAAGTGCCCTCCGTTTGTGCACCCAACGGTGCCCCCCCCCCCCCCCCCCCCAGTTTAACCCTAGTTACGTCAATGCGGGCTGACGGCAGTGTGCTACCTGGAAAGCATATATAATCCACATGTCATGGAGGGGAGGGGGCTTTTTCCTGTTCATTTTGTGTATAGTGTAGATTTTTACAGCATGGCATCCCCTAGCTGCATCAGAATATCACGTTATACGCCGTCAAGTTTTGTTCACCAATTTAAGGACTGTAGATGTGCACGCAGCCGGGAGCTATAGCGCAGTATTTTCAATTGAAAACCAGAAGCAAAACATGCAAGCAAAGTGGGTTTGTGGTACTGAATATAATAATTCACGGTAAAATTGCACCAGAGCACATATCAGTGGAGAAGAATTGAAGTCTTATATCAAGCCCATCCTTTTTCTTAAATAATTTAGTATGAACACAGCAATAAAATTAATTTTGATGGCAAGATAAAAGGAAATTGCACTTCAAATCTGTTTCATTTTAAGGTAGTGTTATGCCTTGGGTAAAAATTAGAACAAAAAAATTTATATTAGACCTGAAAATCAGCCATAGCATGAGGTCCGAGTCATGGTTCTAATTATTGCTGTTGTGATACTGCTGCTTTAAATTCATGGGGGTAGTAATCGATAGAGGGAGGTATATTAACAGAGGGTAGTCCAACAATAGAGGGCACTGTCGATACAATCAGGACAGGGCGTGATTATCCTTTATGAATTGAAGTAACAACAGAAAAATTAAATCAAATATTAAATACGAGGAGTCAAAGGTTTCTCATGTAAGTACACGTATTTTAATGAGCCGCTTTGAATTAATCACCGTTTTACAGATCGAGTTTTGTGTCTTGATGTTCCCGAAGGCTGCCTTCCTATAGCCCAAGTGAACGGCACAATGAGCTAGATTGCCCGATGGAGTTGGTGACAGTCAGGGTACCAGACTTGTCTGCAGTATTCTTATTTGGCATTCCAGAGCTACTATAAGAAATATTATATTGGAGGGCGGGGGGGGGGGGGGGGGGTAAGCAACAGATGCCCGTGCCCCTGGGTGCCCCCCTACATTTAAAATCTTTAAGTGAACATTTACCACTTGCCTTAAGTGCCCTCCGTTTGTGCACCCCACGGTGCTCCCCCCAGTTTAACCCTAGTTACGTCAATGCGGGCTGACGGCAGTGTGCTACCTGGGAATCATATATATAATCCACATGTCATGGAGGGGAGGGGGCTTTTCCTGTTCATTTTGTGTATAATGTAGATTTTTACAGCATGGCATCCCCTAGCTGCATCAAAATATCACGTTATACGCCGTCAAGTTTTGTTCACCAATTTAAGGACTGTAGATGTGCACTCACCAAGGAGCTATGTTATGGCGCAGTTTTTTCAATTGAAAACCGTAAGCAAAGTATAGGTTTGTGGTACTGAATATAATAATTCACGGTAAAATGGCACCAGAGCACCTATCAACAGAGAAGAATTGAAGTCTTATATTAAGCCCACCTTTTTTCTCAAATAAGTTAGTATGAACACAGCAATAAAATTCATTTCGATGGCAGGGTAAGAGGAAATTGCACTTCAAATCTGTTTCATTTTAAGGTAGTGTTATGCCTTGGGTAAAAATTAGAACCAAAAAGTCTATATTAGACCTGAAAATCAGCCATGAGGTCCGAGTCAAGGTTCCAATTATTGCTGTTGTGATACTGCTGCTTTAAATTCATTGGGGTAGTAATCGATAGAGGGAGGTATATTGACAGAGGGTAGTCCAACAATAGAGGGCACTATCGATAAAATCCGGACAGGGCGTGATTATCCTTTGTGAATTGAAGTAACAACAGAAACAATAAATAATACGAGGAGTCAAAGGTATCTCATGTAACTACACGTATTTTAATGAGCCGCTTTGAATTAATCACCGTTCACAGCTTGTGCAAACATCCGGACATTCAATACAGTAGGTAGAAAGAAAGAGAAAGTCTATTCCTAATAGTTTTCATTTTAATCCAATAGGCGTAACTGAGAAATGATAAGTTTAGTCGCTTGGAATTTGTTGAGAGGTGTCAGTCATGAGGACGTTTTTGAGATCAAATTACCCCAAGTAACATCTCCATTCTACTTTGTTTTTGCAAATGTGACGTCATACCAATATAACCACGCCCGGTCTACTTTGACTTGCATCTTTATTGCAAAGTTCGTCATGATTCTTTTGAAGAGATAAACGACAAACACCAAAGGAATCGTCATAATATTTAACCAACAATGATTTTTTTTGTGGAGTTGGATATCACGCATGTAAAGGTAATGCCATGACGTATGATCACATAAATAGCTGACCAAACAGAACAGGTTGCAAAAGGAAGCACGGTTGCCACCGTATACGTGTGCATGCACCATAGGTTATAAGTTTCTAAACACGAAAAAGATTATTCGCTAACTACTAACGAAGGATTTGGATAGCATAACATAATTGTCAATTATTAAAGCATACATTCTGAATCGCGATCAATTTATAATTTGAAGGGTCGCTCTGGAAATAAATGTATCCTTAGTATTCGTCGTTGTACATCT